CAATACATGATGGAAAACAAGCTTGGGCTAGAGATAGGACAATATATTTAATATGGTTAAAAGATATAAGTTAACAAGGACCACGCCTGCATGGCTGAGCCATGCCATTCGATCAACTCCAACTCATTCAATTCCTTGTTCGCGCCCTCTCCATCGTTAGGTATTTCTCCGCGTTAAATATTGAATATCTATTTTCCGAGTAGTCTCGTGTTCAGCTTTGAGGATTGTGTGGTTATTGTCCAATGCCACTACAGGAGAAAACGTGTGTTTTCAGTTCTAAATAAAATCATATTTCTAACTTAAGCCTCGCTCTTCCCCGACGTCATAGTTGTTGGTGTAGGGCCAGCAAAATGTTGCTAAGCCCTAGCCAAATCATCCGGCAGTTGGGTCATTGAATATCGAGCAAATCATCGATCCTCGTCAAGGTCGGGAACAACCAACGCGCATCAGTTAATCGTATGCCATGGACTGGCCCATGCGGCAGGGGTCTTACTTTCGCATGTATCTACTTTTACTAATATATTTCTGTAATAATCTCCCCTGTGTTGTACAGTCTTCAAAGCATCTATGGTACTTTGATACGTCAACAGGGTAGTCCACGTAAGGTGCTGACCACGAGGTGTGACTTCGACGTTAGCTAGTTTGTCACACCATTCACGTCTAACTCTAGTAGGCCTCCAATCATTTCGACGTAGATTATCTACGTTGGCGATCTACAGTGGTTTAGGTATAGAGGGCAAGAAACTATTCCGATGTGACAAGAAACTCGAAACGAAAGGCAGAGCAGTCATGTATATTAACAACCAATTTAACACCAAAGAAACCAAAATGGCCGATTTATCAGAGTCTTCCTTGTGTTATTTTAGGGCAAACGGCACCAGGTACTCGACTGTAAGAATGTGCCATCCTCTCACATTCAGTTACACCAAAAAATAAAGGATATTTTTCTCATGTGATTATCAGGGAGAACATAAGTTTTAACCAAGGGGATTACACTTATAACTCATGTCTATGATAATGACGTGAACCTTATTCAGGGTTGGGATAAATCCGACAGTATTTTCAGTCTGCAGGAGATTTACTCGGCTGCTTATACTGATGATTTACATGCATGATTGTATCGCTAAATCTACAATCAGACTGACAAGGTTTTAAGATATTTTACGAATGAGCAACTGATAGAGAAACATACTGAAATCATCTGTAATGGGTGAAAATAACGAGGAAACAACATTATTTATTAATAATTATAAGTCAATTTGTTGACAGATTTCGTTAATAAATCCGTAAACTTTAGTAATCACATTACGTGATTGTTAAGTCGTGACAATGATTTAAGATGATATCATGAAACCATTATTTTTAACTAGTTATAGTGTTCATTGAGGAGCAACCAGTTGAAAATAGTTATTGTTGTTTTATGTGCTTCTGAAATAGGAGACGTTTGTAGCGTTAAAGTATCCGAGCTGCTTAATTATATTATAAATTTCAATTCAAAAATAGTCGTCAACATAGTGTTAATTTTAGTAGCAGGTTCCGGAATTTTGATCTTAAATGTTTGTCTAGTCAACAACTACCCGACAGTTTAGTTATTATACTAGTGCAGTTGATAGTACCTAAATTTGTAGCTTTTTTATCTAAACTACGTTCATATTTTTGGCTGCTAATATGACAGACCAATCCATAAACCCAAATGTTCAAGAGGCGTAGTAATGATCCAAAAGCATCTAGATTAAACACGGAGCATGGCAACTAAGTCCAAGATGCTTGGCGCTGTTGACCTTTTTGACACTCGCTCGAATCAGAACAAACGAACAGATCCCGATAATTGTGTAAATTTCATTGTATGAACCATCCAAAATGACCTTATGTTTGCTGAAAATTTATAGCTCAAACTCATCGTATGTTTTTGGAGTAGTGTCTTTGTTGTTTGGTAGTGGGACTCGAAAATTGAATATTAGACAGGCAGTGGTCGGAAGATATTACAAGATAGTGCATAGTTTAAAACACAATGAGGCGGTAAGTAAAGAAACAACATGAAGAATCAGATACAGATAACTACTTAGTTCTTCCTTACGTTGCTAGTCAATGTATATTTAGATCATTCACAGGTTATAATTGCCAGACCTCAATATTTAAACAAGTTTATTTCGCTGAAGCATGTCAATGCTATTAAAGCTTGTTAATGAACCATCAAAGCTAATTAATATAGATGGCCAGTTGTTAGTATCAATTGAGTTAGTATGTTATGAGTTTTACTCCATATAACATTACGACAATACATGAGTGCATTAATCGGAGGACTATTAGAATAATAGGTTTACATAAGTTAAAATCGATCGAGAAATTTGAAGTGGAAATAAGGATTAACAATAATAAGTCGCGTTTATTTAGTCAGGCATACCGATGTAGGTTTTGCTACTGCTCTAATAATAGGCTTAATCCTAAAATTGCAGATTTGTCAAGGAAACAGTCAAAGGTATCAAAGTTCAATCCTGAATGAATTTGAAAGAGACGCCACGAGATGAAGGAAGTACGGAAAGGAAAGAAGACTCTACCAGCTAGCATCTAATGGCCACCTTCCGATTAAGGAGTCCGTGTGCAGTCATTAACTGTGAGTAGTGACCGTGAAACAATCATATTTGTAGTTGTCACAAGTCAAGTGGACGAACGAGAATGCCTTCTTGCTTTGTTACACTAGGAAAGATCACACGGCTGTAAGTGAGCATTTTCAACATGCTTCATGGTTGCAAGAGTAGTATAAGCTACTACTGATAGTGAGAGATATTATTCAGAAAGCCATCCTGTACAATGTACCACAAACAAAATACACACCTAGAAAGGGAGTATAGTGTCTGAAACAAGGCACAGAATGACTGTAACATGCACAAGCAAGAGGCTGGCACAAGTGAGGAGTTTTTCTAAATGATTCTATCAGTAGCTATCAATGGACGGAGCGAAACAAATTCAGCGTTGAAACTCAAAGCCAGGGGTGGTATTTCCAATACTTATTGACCATAGTGCAAACCGATGGTCAGACAAACTTTCATGTAACTCTCGGATTGATACTAAGTAAAATATCCTGTCGCCCAGGAAGTAGTCCATTGTTGCAAGCGACGATTTAACTGAGGGATGATAACTTTCGGGGCTATTTTCCTGCGGTTTTATTTATCTACATTGGTCGCGTTTTTAGGAGTTTTAGTTTTCTTTGTGTTGTTATTACCTTTGTTTTAAGCTTTTATTTGAACCGTAACTTTTTGCTATAGCATCTTCCGTTTATTAACTAGAACCAATTATTTGTGTGCCCAGTATTCCGTTTCCCCATCAATAATGTTGTTGTATTGTGCTAATACTGTTGCCCGATCTATCTACTGTGTAGTCCGGTCTTGTACATATGTAAATGGATGTTTGAAGTGTAATAGTGATCTTGAACTGATGAACATTTGCATTGCGTTCTTCCTCTTCTTTCGGTGCCAGTCAGTATTGGGCCAGACGTCAGGCACCGGGTACCAGTTTCCAAAGTCCTTGCAGTGACTTGGTTATTTAAAGTTGACTAGGCGCATCGGTCGGTTGCAGGACGTCACACTTATGTGTCAGTATCTGGCCTATAACCCCGAAAACCGCGCGAAGGCTATAGTGCACTGCAACACGTCAAAAACAACGCCCTTCTTTGAGCCCAATACTGGCTTATAAAAATGCAAATCCTGGACGTCCAGACTCAAGACAGCAAGAAAGCTTGCTTTGTCAAACATATGCAAGCCTATATAATATTTATTGGCTCCAATGGAACATTGGACACAAAACTCTAATAACCGGTCATAGTAAAGGTCGGAAGGATGAGTCTCGTTGACCTGAAATTACCCAGAAGAAAGAATGTTTTGCATTGTGGTACATAAAGTACTCATGCACTGCAGGATTCCAACATCAGGAGTTACACAATGAGCCGTGTTATATCTACTATTCCTCATGACTCCTAACGATGACCTTCTGGATAAGATTAGCTCAATGGCCCATAAAATGCCGACGATGACGAGAAATGGAGGTTCATGAAAGAACGTTCACTTGAGATTCAGAAGGGCCTTCAAACAATAAGGAAACAGGTGGTAGACGATAGGCAGAAGTTTAGCCAATCAAAATGTCATGTCATAGACATTCAACCCCATGAAACACAAACAACCTACGTCCTTTATGAAAACCTGTTCTCAATTGTCTCCTCAAAGCGTGACCTAGGATGATCAGTCAGAGAAAACGTGGGTATGAGCTCGAAATACGTTGTAGAAACAGTCGAAGCAAAGGCGACTTTTCACTTTATACGAGGGTAACTCGATGCGGTCATCTTAGGTACGCTCCCACTATTTCGCTTTAAAAGTTAGCCTACTCGGAATACTGTCCCAGAAGAAGTGACAGTAACCCTCATCAGTTGAGAGGTTCAAGAGAATATTTGAAATATATGAATCAAGTTGTGGATTATCATCTCCCACTTGCATTAGCTGTCCTTAATTCATATCTCGTAACTTACCTACTGTTATCTTCACCCCACGTCATGAGGCTACTCCTTCATCGCTCATTACAATATCGGTTTTTCGTTTGATTCTTGCACTTCGATCTGCCTACGCTATTTGGAATATTAATTAACTGGTTTCACTGCTTATTTACCTCTTGAAACAATCATCCATATGAATTCCGATTCCTTCTATATGATTTTATATGTTGCGACCAACAACCAACTATCTGCCTGGTAATATGATAGATTATCACACTCAGAAAACCAGTTTCTCTGAGAAAAACTGACTTATTCAGGTTACATAATATAAAAATGCTGAAATAGTTACCGAAATGCCTAAATGAACTGATGCAGCTAGGTGGCTAAACTACAAGTGATGGATTATCATCAAAGACCTGAGATTGTACAGGAACAGCAAAATGCGATTGTAAAAAATCATTCGGTTTATACAAGCTCGTCAAAAGGATACTGTGTATCGGATTGTATACAAAACGGCGGGATATATGTAAGCATGCGATGCGCCGCGGAAATGTATTTCCAGTTGCTCAGGTAGTCTGTTTTAAAGTTTTCCTGAGCTCATGTACTGAAGTATGGTTAAACTATCATTCGTTCTTCACACCTCAGTGTTTCTAAATAATTCCATTGCATAATTCTGGTTTCGATCGTACAGTTGGGCATTAATACTTAATTATAATTATAGAAACCCATATACATTCTAACATAACATAGAGAGGAATTAAGAGCAAACACTTGAGAAAAACAGTGTGCAAAAATTGTGCGCGGAGCAAAGTTTTTGGTGTGTGTTTAGGCTAGGGACAATTCTTGCGGATGGTAAATAACTTCAGTAGCTGATAGTAAAGTTTAGGGGGGTTCGCACTGTTTCCCTCGGTATGTGTCGGCTGTATTTACACGTAATTTTCTCAATGACTTACCTCAGCACTTTTATCTAAGCATTCTTCCTCTTTTTTGTTTGCATGGGAAAGAGTTAAATATAGCTTTCGTTGTCAGCTACAAGAAGCTTCCTATGGTGTTTTCTCTTTTCTTAAAACATGCCAAAAGCCTGCTTTTTGGAGTTGCATCTACCAATTAATGTAGTTTTTCGGTTCTTAGTATATTTAACCCCATTAATTTTGACCTCCCGTTTCGCATATGTTCCGGGATTCTCAATGTGTAATATTCACTGTTGTTAATCGTGCTTTGAAATGTAAAATTAAAACACTGTAAATTCATCCTGGCTATGTTTATGAAGTTATCGTGCATGTATAGACCTATCGTTCTCATTGAAACTGGTACATATATTTTTAAAGTACAGTTTTTTTTTACGTTGAACTGAGAAGAAATTACGACATCTAATAACTGAAGGAACGACTGTATTGGTGTGAATTTCAAATAATTTAGACGTGACGTCTAAGGATGAACTGTACTGCTTAGGTGATACCTTCATTGATCTACCATTGACCCACAAAATTCGGATTCTACAATCCTGTATTAGATGATGTGTATTCATGTTTGATTTTTTTGTTTGGCGTGTAAATAAAGCGTTATTTTTGCCTCAAGAAAAGCCTGTTGTGGTGGTCAGCCGTGTTGCATACCGACATTTTGTTCAAAGACTTAGATCAGTAATTCAGTTTCATGCTCAACTGTTGGTTCATCACGTTGTGTTACTACACATCATCGACTAATCAACGTTCTACTCACCATTTTAACGATGAAAGCGTGATCAGTACCAACATTTAAGACTTATTCATAGCGAGTCTCGTGAGAACTTTTTATGTTTTTTACTGTAATCACTCTAAAGACTTGTGCTTATTAGCTTTAATAATTATCCATCTATAGATGTCTTATTCCTGAATTGATTTTTTTAGTCACTCAAACAATGAATTTTGAAGGAAAAACTAGTAAATCTGATCGTCAAGTTATCCATAAAAATGTTTCAGTCAGAAAGCTGAAAACAAAGACAAGTGAAAAAAGTTTTATCTGGACAAATGTCACGCTTCATATTATACTATTTCTTATGGCAATAACAGCTGGTTATTTGCATTGTTTTCATGTTTCGAATTTGCATGAAAATGACCTGTTTTTCTCACACTTATCCAATTTGGAGCGTGAGCTGACATTTAGGACTGAAATGGGATTTTACTACTCCTACTTTAAACAAGTAAAGCTCTTCGTTTGATTGCTTAAACGTTATTAAAGTATATATTTGAATAATCATGTTTTCATTCCTTATTTTGCGATGTACTTATGTGGTTTCATTGTTCTCTCACGGTCGGTCGCCTGGGGCCCTATATATCTTGTATCCGTGTGATAGATTAGTGGGTTATAAAAACATTGGATAGTCCAGATGTAAAGAATGAAAGTTCCGTCTGTTTTACAGGACTTTTGTCACCAGTCTGTTTACGATGTGATACTTTTAATGTATGGACCACTAGATCGCAACTATATGCTCTTTTGGATTCTAACTTAAAAAGATCAGTGTCCTCGCTTCGATCTTGTATGTGATCATGGAATTATACTGTTAGTAAATTCAAAACGAGGATGAAACAGTTCCTTTTGGCTTTATTTTATTATTTATTTGGACACATGAATATTGGTACAAGAGAGCGCCAATATATATGCGCCACACAAAACAATGAAAATTCGAGAGGAATACAAACAAAGAAAAAAAAGCTAAGGAGCGCAACAAAAAAAGAGAGAACAATAACGAAGAGATTGGTGTAAGGTAATGTGCTAGTAATCAGGGAACGCAAAGGTACAATCGGAAGAAATCTTTCAGGTAAGGGAGACACAACCACTTTTTATGAAGAAAGTAAAAGAAGGTTACAGCAGGATCGCCACTGGCTTCTATTCTGAGCCATATCTGATAACGTCTCTAGCCACTGTGTAGCACCATCTCTCAGACCCCAACCAGGGAGTCGTGAAGGACCAACACAAGCCAGTCCTTTGCAGCTTTCTTTCATGCCACGACACCATGTCATGCACTGACCACCTCTCCGCTTCTTCCAACCAGTCCCAGAGTCGGCAAATAATGCACGACGTGGAATTCTCTGGGACGACATTCGGAGAACATGTCCAAGCCACCGAAGTCGGTGTTTCAAGATGGTGACACCAATTGAATTATCATCTCTGTGCCCGAACACACGATGCCGAACCTCTGCATTACTGACATGGTGTTGCCACTGAATGTCAGCAATCCTTCGGAGACAGCGATGATCGAACACAGAGAGTCGTCTAACGTCCTCAACTCGGAGAGGCCAGGTTTCACAAGCATAGAGCAAAACTGCTCTCACCGACGCGTTGTAGATCCGACCTTTTACAGCCAGACTAACATCACGAAGGCGCCAAAGGTGGCCCAGATTGGCATAAGCCGCTCTGGCTTTCACTATACGTGCATTGATCTCATCACTCACACCCCCACCAGCACTTATGCAGCTACCCAGATACACGAACTTCTCGACTACGTCTATCTGCTCACCATCCAGGGTGAGTACAGGATTAGAATCCTGCCAGTCTTGTAGAAGTACTTTGCACTTCGAAGGTGCAAAGCACATACCATACCTACGGACACTGATTGCCAACTGATTAAGTGCGGATTGCATGCCTTGGGCATTATCGCACAGTAAGACAATATCGTCCGCATACTCAAGGTCGAGAAGTCTTTCTCCAGGCAACAGATCCACACCACCATTACTTACATTCATCAGAGCTGTTTCCAGAATGTCATCGATGGCAAAGTTGAAGAGGAATGGTGAGATTGGGCAACCCTGCCTAACCCCACTGCTCGAATGGAACAATGGAGAGAGGTGGTTGTATGCCCTCACTCTGCCTGAGGTGTTTTTATATAGGGCTTTTAGGATGTTAATAAACTTCTCAGGCACACCCTTCTTCAATAGACAATCCCAGAGAACAGTCCTGTCCAACGAATCGAAGGCAGCCCTGATGTCAAGAAACACTACGATTGTTGGCCTTTGATAAGTATGGCGGTGTTCTAACATTTGGCGGAGGGTGAAGATATGATCAATACATCCTCGACCAGAACGAAACCCAGCCTGCTCCTCGCGAGTCAATCTTTCTCGGGTTTTGAACAACCTACGAAGTATGACGGAAGCCAATAGCTTGGACGCAATCGGAAGTAGACTTATCCCCCGATAGTTGTTACAGGAACGACGTGAACCCTTTTTAAAGATAGGGACAACTATCGACTCATTCCATGACGTTGGTACACTCTCTAGTTCCCAAACCTTTGTAAACAACGTCGTCAATTCCTTAGTCAAAAAGTCACCACCATCTTTAAAAAGAGCCGGAGGTAAGTCATCTGGGCCAGGTGATTTGTAACGCTTCAAGAGTTGGAGTTCCTTGCGGACTTCCTCCTCGTTTGGTGGATCAGTCGTCACCGGCCATGGAGGGCAGGACAGTCTGACCGATGTTGCCGGAGCAGCAGGCCAGTTGAACTGCCCTTCGAAAAATTCTGCCCATCGTCCAAGACGTCGATGGATGTTAGTGATTGGCATCCCATCATCCTCGCAGATTGTTTCACTCACACCAGACTTCTTGCTGCCAGTGGCTCGGATGAGCTGGAAGAGCTTCCGGTAGTTACCAGATGCAGCTGCTGCTTCCAGCTCATTAGCACGCATCGACCACCAGGCTTCTCGGTCCTTACGCAAGCTTTGCCCAATTTCCTTACGTAACATCCTTCGTTTATGGTCAAACTCACGGTCACCCGGAGTAGACCGACGGGCTTCAATGAGTTGTAAGGAACCAGAAGAAACCCAGTGCTTAAAAGCGGGACGTTTCGCAAACCCACAACTGACTGTTCCCGCCATTTTCATGGCGTCATGCAATTGCAACCAATGCTCATCTATACTTTTCGGTGGAGTGGTAGCTAGCCTAGAGGCTAGCTCGGTTCGATACTTACTTGCAACAGAAGTTGCAACCAGCTTGCTAACATCAATCCGTTGATGGCGGTCACTTCGTTGTCCACTGAAAAGTAAGGCAAGATTGGCGCAGACCAAGGCATGGTCAGAGTCCAGATAGGTACTCCAAAAGGAGCGGCAGTCTTGTACACAACCACGCCAGCGGTAGCTGATCGCGATGTGATCAATCTGAGTCCAGGCTTGAGATGCAGAGGGAGGACGCCAGGTGGCACATCGGCGATGACTGTGCCGAAAGTTAGTGCTAGCCAGAAACAGGTTGTGGTCTGTGCACAGTTGCAGTAGACGGTCCCCGTTATCTGACCTGCGACCAACGAGTCCCCATCGGCCACCTAAACGACTCTCTTCTGTGCCTAGACGCCCGACCTGAGCATTCAAGTCTCCGGCTAGTACTACAATATCTGTCGAACGCACTTTCTGGAGAAGAACAGATAACTGGTGGTAAAACTCATCCTTGATTGCATCCGGGCTGCAATCTGTCGGGGCATAGGCGGAGATGACGAAAAGACATCGTTTCTCACGCCGATTTCTTCTCACTTTGATGGAACTTTCTAATCTAACAGCACATAACCGACTGTTAATGGGGATCCAATCGACTAGTGCTGCCTCAGCTCTAGCGCTTAGTGCGACACCAACGCCAGCAAGACCAGACGAAGATGCCACAGGGTCCCCGGATAAGCGCACGTAAAACAAGCTTTTCGAAGCGACAGATGGAGATCGAATTTGTAGTACTTCGCCAGAGTCTTGAATACGGGTCTCGGATAGACAACAAACATCAATATTAAGTGTTATAAATCGCTCTTTCTTACGGTTATGACCCAGCTATTCCTATTGCTTAGTATTCTCGGACACCGATTCACTCGACAAGTCCCCAAATCAGAACACGGTTGAACAGGAAAGAGATTATATTCCAAATAGCAAGTCAGAAGCACAATAGGGAAAACGTCAGTATATTTATAGTTTTTACATAAGAAGATTCCAGAGTGTTCTCCAACTATCGGCTAGTGCTGATTGGATAAGAATTAGCCAATCAGCGTGCACCAAAGCAATCATGCATTGAGCATGCTTTAATCTAGTCTATGTCCCCCTAACACCTCCCCTTTGAGCAGACTCGTAGGATCTGGTGCTAGGGTCCAACTGCAACCGAGTGACTGGCCTGTGCTTTCGATTAGTCCATCGTCTAGGCAATAGAGAAGTATCACCCTTTTCTTGCACAAAAACTGACGTGTCCATTCCCGGCGTTTTGATTTCAAAGGTGTCTAGCAGAACATCAAGAGGTAATCGATATTGAATCTTGTTGCTGGCTATCGAAGTTGCTTTCAATTGGTTAGCATGACGTACCCAAACTTCTGAGCCAACTGACACCTCGTAAACCACACTCCCCTTCTTTTTCAAGATCTGACCAGCTGTCCATGTAGGATGTTTCCCACGATAGTCCATAGCAAGCACTTTTTGTCCCACCGTGAACAATCGTCTTTGTGCCCCATGATGTCGGTTAAACTGATTCTCCATCGATAGGTTTCGTTGGGGTTCAATAGCTGGCGTAGGACGGAAGACATCGGAATGTGTTCGTATCTTTCTTTTCAGTTTTCCTAGTAACCTTTCACCTGTCTTCTTTGGAAGTACTGGGGTGTCCAATGATGAACACGATACGTTACAGACACTGTTAATTGGTACATCCATTATTCCAAGTTTGTCTAACATATCTAGACCAAGAAGATCAAGGTTCGGCCGTTCTGTTAGGTAACATATTCCTGTACAGTTAGTTCCATTGAAGGAAAATTCACACTGTAATTCACCAACCAGTTTTAACACACCACCTGATGCGTTTTTAGCCGTTTTCTTAGATGGCTTCATTGGCGGTTTACCCAGCAAGTTATACGTTTCTCTAGACACTAACGTGATATCTGATGCCTTGTCAATTTGAAGACGAGCTGATATGCCGTTTATCTGGATGGTAACATATTTTCTCCGAATGTCATAGTTTGTTTGAAAGGCAGCTACCAGAGAAAGAGATTTCGACTCAGCTGATTTCACATGTCGAGGACGTTTATGCTTCTTCTTAAGCTGAGACGTACGCTTCGGTGGACAATGACCTTCTTTATGTCCACGTTTGTTGCACGCCTGACATTTATGCTTCTTGAACGGACAGAATTGTGCATAATGCCAATCACCGCATAACCAGCATGCAGTCCTTGGTTTGTTACGAGTTGTTACCGGCTTCTGAACTTTTAACCTAGTAATAGTATTTACACTACCGCAGGTTAAATTAGGATTTACCTGTTCAATCAACTCGTTGTCGTATCTGATGCTTTGTAGACGCTTACACTCATCTGTCAATGTTCTGAGTGTGACGTTTGGGTCTTGATCCAGTCGAGCCAAAAGTCTAGTCCTGATTTCAGCATCTTGTGGTGACTGAAGAGCTTTGATGAATATTAAGCATTTAAATTGGTCATCAGTCAACGAGCGTAACTTGAAACGTTCACATTCTCTGTTGACAATGTCTGCTAGAACACCATATTCATCAGCTTCGCGTTTCACCAAATTTAGACACCGATATCGAATACTAAACAACGAGGATGACTCGCCGAATATCTCTGACAACTGAAATACCGTCTCCTCGAAACTGAGCTCTCGAGGTAACTTTGGCAATATATGGTCAGCAAAACGTGCATGTTCGTTGCTTCCCAACTTACGTACCAACAATCGGGTCTTCCACGCATCGTCTTGATTACAGAATTCTGTTCTAAATGTATCTTCCCAACGTCTGAACCACGTGAGAAAAGTATTTCCATTTTCGGGATCATAGATGAATTCTGGGATGCTGCTAGCAACTGCATCACAAGACGAACTTGAAATAGCGTGTGAACTCGAGCTGTGGATGTTGAGCTGTTGAGTCAGAGTCTCCAACAACCGCATTTGTGCATCAAGTTGTGCTTGCTGTTGTTGTAGTATTCGGTTAAGCTGGTCATCTAATATGGGCATCTTGAATTTGTTTTCCTTTTTCCCCGTCGCCACTGTTATAAATCGCTCTTTCTTACGGTTATGACCCAGCTATTCCTATTGCTTAGTATTCTCGGACACCGATTCACTCGACAAGTCCCCAAATCAGAACACGGTTGAACAGGAAAGAGATTATATTCCAAATAGCAAGTCAGAAGCACAATAGGGAAAACGTCAGTATATTTATAGTTTTTACATAAGAAGATTCCAGAGTGTTCTCCAACTATCGGCTAGTGCTGATTGGATAAGAATTAGCCAATCAGCGTGCACCAAAGCAATCATGCATTGAGCATGCTTTAATCTAGTCTATGTCCCGCTAACATTAAGACTTTCCAAAGACATAGCCAGCCCTATCTGTTGACCAACCTGCATAAGTGTGCGAACGTTGAAGGCAGCCAGTTTGAATGGCGCACGTGGTTTCAGAAAAACTGCTTCAGTACTCATATTCGATGGTAACATACAATTTTCAACCGGACAGTGACTCGAGAACGTTTAGATACAGTCGAATTTCCACCAAAGACGAGCCGCTGTATAAGTATAAAAGAGGGTGAATAATGTAGAAAATAATAATAATAATAATAATAATGACAATAATAGTAATAATAATAGTATTAATAATGACAATAATAGTAGTGATAATTATTTGAATCGATTGATTGTTTTTCGGAGCGAGAAAAGCAGTTGCCATAGACATAGAGTTCATCGTTTGTGTGTGGGCTGTGATACTGCCCGGGTGCCCAAACCGAAGCAGGTGGTTATCTTAGGGGACCACACCCCGAGCCTTTGACCTAAAGGTCTAACCCACAAGGCAGTGGAGCATCGTAAGGATATGCAATCCCATGGTAGCCGGTGACCAAAGATTGGTTCATACGCCATTTGTTCCCGCAGGATACTGGAGCCCATGTGCACCATTGGTTTGTGATCCGGTTAAAGCGCCGGACATTCGCTTTTCGTCCTCTCATTTTCGTAAACAACACCCCCGCCACGAGAAGGCAATGAGTAGGACTTCCCTGGCAGAGGCTGTATACGCGCGGCCGTGTGAGAGTATTTCGAGAGGGAGAGCGGACTCACCCCACTCTCGGCCGTACCAGGGCATTTGGGGGAATTCGAATTGTTTAAATCAGTTTAGTATACAGAAGTTAGTTTATATAAAAACAATACATGTCATAAACTCATGAGTATGGAGTTTTGATGTTATTTCCTATACAGATTATAATTATTTCTTGAATAGTTTAATTTTTCGAATAACTTTTTGTTTAGATCGTTTTAGCATCAACTTTTGTGGAAGGATTCAACTCATTGCTTACTGATACTAGGACTGAATATCCGCCTTGCTTAAGCCTAGTAAATGATACAGGTAATTTCAATTACTTTCATTTTTCACACCTAATGATAGGTACTCAAAAGACTAATCAATGTGCAAATCTTAATTCTATTGAACGATTTAATCTGTATCCTGAATTGTTGCTAGCTGGTGCTTACAGATTCTTACACACATTTGATTTGATCAGACATTACTGTTTTCAAGTTAAAAGAGATCCACCGACTAATCCAATCGCGATTGCTATAAATCCAAATATAATGGCAAATTTATCACAACTTAGAAAGTGGGTACATGTAGTTTTGATGCATGCGATATTATTATTATTATTATTATTATTATTATTATTATTATTATTATTATTGTTATTATTATTATTATTATGGTCAGACAATGAAGTTTTAATTCTAAAAATATATATTTGCTGTTGCTGAAATTAAAGGCGAAATCTAAAATAAACAATTACCAAATGGTTGTTTAATATTAAGCTTTTGTACAATTTGAAATTAATATCAAGTTGATTTAATTCAGAATCATTTTTATTCAGAACGACCAAAAATATAATTTCCTCTTATAATAGGATAAATATTGAGAAAACTGTAACTTGTGAAAATATCTTATGAAGAATTATTGTTCATATTTTTTTTATTGTATAATTCGTAGTGATTTATATTATTGTATACTTATATTTACCTAAATGTAATCTTTCATTTGGAGCACAAACTATTATTGTATGTTTCACGTTATTGTAATTAATCACGGATCTATCACTTAGTTTCTCTTTTACTGATTGCGTAGTTATGTGGATATTGTCATTTCTTATTTACATTATCATGCGGTCAGGAAATTACTCCATATCATTGTATAAGTTGACACATTTGACTGAAAGGCTACACAGCAAAGACCTTATCTGCTTGTTGAGTTCATCATTTGGTTAGATTCTGGTGTTTAAGTAGCTCGAGGACCGACGGAAGTTAAGGTATCTGTTGTTCTTCATTAGTCACTGGGTTGTTGGCAAAATAGGTCATCAGTCCTATAGGCATAGAACGAATAAATCAATAATCGAATTACAATGTATTGCTGTTTCTATAATAACAACCCAATCGTGAACCCCAATACAGTACAAAAATTTGTTCATTTTTGGAAATATGACATCTGTACAATTAACCCACTCAATAAGATATGTCTACTGTCAACAGTAACTGCGTAATGTGACCCATTTCTTAAATTTGGCCAATATATCACTAACATGAATTGTCACGTTAAAAGCAAACATTCATTGACCGTTAGGTATACATTTCACTTTAATAATTCCGTATTCTCTCAGAGGAGAAAAATTTTGTTATTTTGTATACTTCATTTGAAATCCAAATAAGTTTACAACTCTTTACTGCCCCAAATATCAGCGTGATACTATTGAGATGAGGAAAATCGAATTCATATTGGTTCAGTCAACCATAAATGATGTCAGTCTCTGAACTTGGACAAAGTGCTAGAAGACTGAATTAACTAAATTTATAGTTGACATAGTTGGTTTGGATGGAGAGATTCCAAGATAATATTATCGTCTACAAACTAGTTGTCAAAGGGGAATTATGAATCGGGAAAAAAATCAACCACCAATCCTTGTTCACTATGCTCAACACTAAATTTCTTAACCACTGCAAATCTCTTTTAGTGATGTCTTATTTCGAAGCGCAAATCTCTGTTTTAAGGCTATACTGTTGGCAGGGTCGAGGTTTCTGAACCTCAGATTAGTGTTTACAGACATTTCTCTAACGGCAAATTTGAAATTGGAATCATGAATTTCAGACTTGATGGAAAATATGTTTAGATGTCTTTTGCCAATGATGAATTTTTAGTTTGTTGCTTTTGCTAAGTCCATGCGTTAGAAGCTACAGTACTGAGGTTGTATTAGAGTTTGATCAATGTATTGAAAAATTCACATAGACCAGTACTCATTTAAAAAATTCTTGGCAGTGATACTCGTTTTTTGAATTGTTATTGCCGAACTGTTGAATCGTTCATACTCATTAGTAATATTACAATCTGTGGTCAATATGATATTAATCATTTGCAAAAGCTCTGTCGTCATAACATTCTTGACATTGTATTACGTTTTCCATATAAAATTAAGAGCTATTAACTCATATTTTACTCGTAACTAGTAACTCCCGAGCAAAATCTAACACATACCTTCTCGTGGTGCTTGGGTAATAGTGAGGTTGTGCCTAACGAATCAACACGAGCGATTGATGGGGATCCGCCTTATCGATTACTTTGTTTTAATTTTCGAATTAGTCAGTGTTTAACACTCGACGGACACATGGGTGGTCAGCATTTATGTGCATGTGTATGCCGTGAAAGGTATAGGTCGGTTTGATTTATGTCTTTTATGTGTAAATCTAATGTATATTTCAACAAAAAGCTGTCACGGGAGTAACATCTATACTTACTTACGTGCTTCGGAATGTATAGGTCCCCGACTTACATATTTCAGGTGTGTATAAAGTATATATAATTGCTAGGAATAAAGAGCTGGGAAACCACCTTACTATTGGCAATAACCAACTAATATCAAGGTCGACAGGAGAACCTATTAGTTACATATGAAGGAGTTCAAATACTTCACTTCTACTTGAAAGGGCAGATGCTTGGAAAACATACTCAAAAAATGGCATTTGCTAACCTATTACAACCACAACAGACCTTTGAAGTTGTTATTTTGCAATAAAATAAAGAGATAAATTGATCCTGACTGCTATTATTTTGATTTGGTGTATATGCAATTTAAACCCATATGATCCTTTTTTACTGAATAAAATAAAGTCATCACTTATAAAATAATGCTTCACAATAAGTGTTTTAGAGAGAGAGAGAAAAAGGTTTTGACTGGTAGCGAGTATGTGTGTGTTTAGTCAAGGTTACATATGGTGGTACACCAGCTGTGGTGGAAAAAGGCTATTTCATTGAAGTTACAATTCGATATAAGTTATGCCACTGTTAAAAATCTGGAAGCACTGGATGACCTTTTCTTTCTCGTATGGTAATCCTCAGGGATTAGACATTAACACCGTTGGATGCCGGTTCAGTGGTCTAGGGACTAGATGTTTTCGCGCGTGACTGAAGGTTCTAGATCCGATTCTTTGTCCCTCTAACACTTGGAAGATAAAAGATAATTGACTATGTTTGGTCTTAACACTTGATGTTTGGGATACTGGTCATATTTGAGTGAATAATTGATGCGGTTCTGATTAATCTATGGATGACGTTTTTTCAGTGCTATTTAGCAAAGAATACCTGTCGATTGGTTAGACCAAAGTTGTTTTGTTAGTTTAAATATGGAAGAATATAGGTTAAATGTAAATATTACTAATGCATAGTTGTGGTTTCATGCTTATATATTGTAATAGTTGGTATAAATATAGTTTTTCTGCCTTTATAGGCATTTTGGCATTACCCTCCTCCAAATTTTATGTAACAAAACATTTGATATTGCAGTATCTCCTTGTCTTGTTTTTATTGTTAAGGCTAGATGTAATACCATCGAATCAATTGAAGATCAACAGTAACTCGATTATAAGTTGTGATGGATCTGGCGAACCGCCATATTTCTATGTAAATTCAGTATTCATTTTGTCAGGTCTGGTACTCTTCGGTTTAACTTACTCTGGTTGGTTTGTTGCTAAGATTGGGAGTTCAAATCAATCTAAAATGGATCATATACTACAGCTTATTGGCGGATTTCTTCCAATTTTAGCATATTTCTCTAATCATAGAGAAGCTACACGTGTTCAATGGACTCCACCATTGAGAGAAAGCTTTGCTTATCCATTCTTTATAATTCAACAGTCTTTTTTATTAGGTTATTTTGGATCAAATCAAATGGTAAATAGACTTAGTTTTCCTTATCTTTTTAATATGTAGTTGTAATGCCTATTTTCGAATTCTCCGCAGATGATTCATCATTTAGCGTGGTTTCCTTAAAATAAATCAACCCGTACAACTTAACAATTAATTAATACGTAAAATCCGAAATTATTATATAAAGTATGTTCATAAGTAAGATATAACGCATCGAAACAAATAGTAAGAACTCGCAAACCTTAAATCATGAAACATCTACCGGTCACTTAATTAACTTATATTTTAGGCACTTGAATATGAACCACACTCTAACTGGGAGGGCTAATGTTACTCATTTGTGTGCCTAAACTAAATTAGGTGGAGTGGAGTGTTGAGCCTGTTAGTTAGTGGATGGAAGTCTAACGGTCAGTTGCACACTGCTAGAAGCAATATCACAAGAAAATATTTATTTGAAATAAAATCCAATGAGTATATATAGACGCGAAAAGGGTCAAGTTAGAATTAAGACCCTGGGTGGTGACTTGGCACGTGGTACTAATGGTCAGTGGTCCCCAAGATATTACAAAAACCAATAGCTAGATGAATAGATACTTCATGTAGTAAAGTAATGTGCTTATATAAGAAATATGAACAAAAAGTATGACAAAATATATTAGGTGGTTAGAGGAAATCAGTCTATAGGCCACTTATTCTCCAACCAATTTAGACCTGACTGTTAGTCCTAATAGTAGTGGGAGCAAAATCAAATCAACTTATCATTACTCAAAATGGTAAAAATCGTAATATTTTATATTATTGTAGATGTTAAAAAAACTCAAAAAAAAATAATTTGATTTCGTATTAAGAGTAATGAAGCTGGTACATACGCTTAAAACCATACGGTTACCATAAGTTGGGATAACCATCTTTCTTCAGTGTTCAATAAAAAGAGCAACATTTAGCATTTTCCCGTTCGTTTAGTGTATCAGTGCTGCATGTAAGATGGTAATTTGCACTAGGGACTTCGTTTAAATAATCTAAAGCCATCTACATGTCTTTTATTAATGCGTTACTATTGCGCATCCCAACTTACCGGGTGAAAAAGTAAAGAAACTGAGAGTTTAAACCTGAAATGAAATTCCCAATTAAAATTCTGCGCTTACACGCAGCGTTCATCCACTTAATGAACAAAAAATGGTTGATATTAAACATTGAATAGCATATGCGCTACAAATTAATGTACATATGTGATATCCCGGCTCATAAACGCCTAGAGTGGGAAATTACGGCAGGTTAAGACAGATATTCATGTTCGTTGTTTTCCCTCGTTCTATTTACTTGATAGACTAAAGGCTTCTGGTACTCCTTCCTAAGACCATATGCTTACCTTTTTGGTACCTTGCTTACTATATGAGTAAATAGTGAACAAAATCTGCTATTTTCCCCTCCATTTCTGACCAATAACCAAAATTTTGGATAATGCATTTTATTCGGTAAATACCAGACTCGTATTTCTGACGTTTCATGACTTTTTCAGAGTAGTGGCTTACATTAAGTCACGAAACATCAGAAATACAATTTTTCTACTCATTGGGATATATAATATAATATAATATAGTATATATATATATATATATATATATATATATATATATATATATATATATATATATATATATATATATTTATTTATTTATTTATTTATTTATTTATTTATTTATTTATTATTAACTCTACCCAATGCTCAATTTATTTGAAACTATCAAGTTCAACTTGGGTATACCTATAAATAACAGACTGCCGAATATACAACTGACGAAAAATATTAACGTATTACAATCCATTATTCTAAGATTTGGCAATCATTTAAAATACAAAGTTCGTCTCGTCGATGAAAAACTTGTCGAAGTTCAGTATCCGAACGTTTTATTCATTTACCAGTGATAAAGCTTATCACTTTCTGAATTATTAAGTCGCTACTCTGTTGATATTCTCAAATATTACCGGTAGAAATCGGGTCTCGATTTACATATAACCTGGAAATAACTTTTTTTCAGTAGTGTTCATTTAGCCTTGACTCCTCATCTTCGTGGGTGAAATCTTCATTGTATCAGTGCTGAATCTTGGGATCACAGTCAAACAGTATAAATGTTGATCCTTCCAAGTGGTTTACTGGTATACTGTTCATGAAGTTGAACACAATAAGCTACACTGAATGATCTGTCAGCCATACGAATTTCTGTTCATAAATAAGCTTATGGGATCGCTGAATAGAAAAAGTCGTCTATTGCTTACTTTACTTTTTGATTGTATTCCCTTTCTGTAAAAACATATGAGATGTAATTGTACTTGCGCTGTAGCTTTGGAGACTACTGTTTATCATCAAAAGTGTCGAACTCATCGTAAATCTAAGCTTACGAAAAAAACAATCCTATCTGGTAAAGATGACAGATACACTGACAGTAAGGAAGCTGACTAGTAGATGACAAGTCTTGTAAATTATTCGAAGCAGTAGTACATCCTTTGACACTAGTGTCCGTTTGATAGTACATACATTCTAAGGATAATTTCTTAACTACTCAGTCGTTCTGCTCGTTCTTCATTTTGTATATATACGAAATTCTATGCAAGTTAGTGTTTATCGCTTAAAAAAAGATGTATACTTGTTCACTCTGACTATAAATAGAACTACCTAAATTATTCAATGCACTTCTGTTGTCCTAAACAACTCTATAATTCTTTTCTCCTACTTTTAGTTACGATCATATCGAGGGAAAAGTTTCATTTGTTTACCAATATACTGTATACTGCTATTGATTTGTCAAATTTCATGGCAATTTTCCCAATTCGCTTTACTTACTCAAATTATATCGATTATTTGTGCCTTTTGTTTATCACTATCATCAAATACCCCTTATTCTCCTAGTTCAAACCAACAAAAATCAGTTATTCTAAGCCTTTTATTCAAAATAAAACAGATCATATGGATTCATTTAATTGTATTCAATTTATCATTTATATTACAATTTGGCAATCGTTTACTTCTACAGTCTGGTTATATGTTTATTCTACTAAGTAGTTTATTAAGTGTATATATACTTCAACAACTATTAAATAGTAAGTGATTTGTTCTTTCTTTGTTCTTTTGTTTGAAGCAATTGAACAAATTATTCGTACCATCAAAATGTGGCGGAGATTATTTGTTTGTTAATGTTATTTCTATTAGTTTATTTGTTAAAGCTTAAATGTAGTAGTGTTTCAACGTCAGATCTGGGATTACAAAGATAGAGCTTGAGTACTAATGAACAGTATAAAATGCACTATAATCATTTTAGTTAGCTAAATAGCTTCCTTAAACTCTTTCTGAACGTTTTATGTTGATGGATTTGAATTAACAATCTTGTATTGAAGTAGTCACACCTACATTAAACGAATGAGAATAATAATTATAAAAGTGTGAGTATTCTATTCAAATAAATACTAATTCATTTAATCAATCAATGTAATCCACACTATCAGCATTATTATGTCCCTCAAATACCACGTGACGAAAACTCCAGTCAGAATACCGACTTCTATGACCCTATCCTGTGATAAAAAAATGACACGTCAACCGGCACTAACAGCCTTGAGTCAACTATCAATCCTTATTGGTTCCTAATATAGTAGCTTCTCGTCTAGCCCTGTCCGCTCAGTTCAGAACACAGTATCCGCCTATGCTGTATGAATAATATATTTCAGACATGTAGTTTACATACAAGCGTACCAGACCACATCACACCATTAAATAAAAAATAACAGTTATACAGGATCAGGCCAAAATTGTTTGTGAGTGTAGGAGGCTGCAACTAATAGACCGGGAATAAATTATGAACAGTAAATCGTATAACAGCAGTCAATTGGTCAAGTGAAAAGTTATGGTGAAGGGAGTATAAATATACATAACCTAGTCACTTAATAATTATATGATAAGTATATATATATAATAAATAATAGTCTACAAATAATTCATGGAAGTTGCCACTCATTTATTCTTCGTTTCGACGTAAAAAAATTCCTTACTAATTACTTCGAATTTGAGTTCTTGCTTTTGCCTTTTCGAAGTTTTAAACTTGTTGGGATTAGTACTATCTCGTTATTTTATTTCAAATTGACATCTGGCTACCCTCAGTGTTGATGTTTATATCGGGGCATCCAGTTGATGGAGTCTCTAGAAGGACGAAGCGCGCGTTCTGAATCTCACTATTAGCTACTCTCCAACTCTGCTTTAAATGCTTATGACTTAATTAGAATATCAAAACGATCTGCAGAAGATGTATATATACCAAGAAAGCAACCGATCAATTACAGTCTTTAATACCAATAACGAGAAGATTCAATACGACCCGGTAAAAATAAATTAAAACCAAATAATGATGTTTGTCATTAGTATTATATTTAATAGAAACTTTCCTTTCCATTTCCTTTCTTAGCCTATAATTCAATGACAATTAAAAAGAAAGAAGTATCTACTCGATCATCAATGATGAATATTACATTTATACGTTTTCTATGCTTACCATTATTGGTTGTCTGTCTATGTACGATCGGATTAAGTTTACTATTCTCAGTTTTTTCAAAGTATGCTTTCAATAATAATTATGATTTAAACAGAAATAATGATAATAATCACAATGATGGGGGTCATATATGGGATTTATTAAAGCATAAATTAACCATATTATTTGGTATTACAACTTATAAAACATTTCATACAATGTTGTATATATGTGCACCAGAGTTTGATTTTATCAATGTAAGTAATGTAATCCCTCTTTTCTCCCTTTCTGTCACATACACATTGGTTCATAAGTGAATATATTTTTCTAAATGGGATAAAAAAACTGTCATTTTCTATAAAATGTTTTTTGTCATAAAATACGTACACTTTCATTTAAAATGTAAACAGAATGGCTTTCTATTTTCAAAACAACTATTGAGCTCTTCGGTCTAGATTTGAAATGATACCAAAAGTGTGTAGCTCAAATGGATAATGTTATGTAGCTTTTGATTTACCTTTCAACCGTCCGAGTGAACATCAGGCGAAGAAAGGTTGTATCACTTCTGATCGTACCCTCTACAATTACGGTTAATGGGTTAATGTTAATGAACGAAACACTAACCCTCTTTATATGTCCCGTCAAAACCAATAACATCAAAGAAACGACCTGCCAAAATCATTTGATCACCAGTCGTGAAGAAAAAATACGATAGACAGTTATCATCGTCTAATTCGTATTCGCAAAGCCCACCCAAAGATGTTATGTGAGCTTTTAGTTTTCTGTAATCACCTATCGTTTACATTATAAATTGGCAAATTGCTTACCAGGAAGGTTCGCGTGTGAGAACACTTTGTACCGCATATTAAAGATATCTTGATCATTCAGACTTTTCCCATAAGAATGGTAAGCATAATTCTTAATGTGGAATGCGGCGGTACCAGATATCAGCAGCGGTCGCACAGTTTCAAACTCGGCCTCCGTTAACCTGCGCACCAATGAATTACTTTGGTGCCTCAGGGAATTGAACTCGTGATTGTGGTGCACATTCCCACGTACAACAGTCCAGTAGCCGTCTATAATCTTACAAAACATGAAGGCTGGGCATTGAGTGTTCATGGAAGCCCTTCTTGAAAAAAAATTATAATAACATTAATCAAATTACCTCCTCCGTCTAATCCGCTGTGACGAACCGCTAGATCTTATACGGCCATTTCTCCAACACACAAATCCAATATACGGACTTTCACCTCTGCCCAAATGCGAATCTCTCACTACATAATGACAGTAAGTCGATCTTTCATAATTTGTGATAGCGAACTTTAACGCTTCAAGCGATGGGAACGCAACGAGAAACAATGTTGTCAAAAAGACTTCCTCCGTTTCTGTTACGTGAGAAACAACAGCGCTTGTACTCGGCACGTTACTCTCCTCCATAATGATGATTAAAATGTACTTCGTCGGCAAGTACTGATATTTTATAACAATTTGACAAGACATAACTAACCAATTAAAACGAATTTTAAAACTAGCCATTCCATTGGACGAAACGGGATGGAAAATATTGTAATTTGGGGGTTGAAAAGTTTTTTTAATGAGGGGATTTTTTAAAAACAAATTTACAAAAATTGTCGGGCGGATAATGTAAACCTCAGATGGATATATTTTCTGATACCTGTATTTTATTATTTAAACCATATTATCATTCTGTACATCATCATCAACATTGAACCACTCAGTTCAGATGTCACAACATCATTACGGTTATGGCATAACGGGAGAATAAAATCCTCAATGCAAAATACTTTGTGCAACAAATATGTAAAGACAAATTACAGTGTACTATTGCGTAACTGACACTCATTAGCCGTATCTAAAGGCGACGCTGGCTTTCATCATTAATCGGGAACTCAAAGCACAAAAATATGAAAGCTGTTACATTTTAACAAAGATTTAAGGAGTAAATGTAGACTGAGAGTAACTTTTACAAGTGGTGAGCGATTGTAATCACAGTAATGAATATAATGGATGTTACTAGTTTATGTAAAATTTGAAGAACATTATACGACAACAGATACATAGGTTACACACTAGATGCTCTAAAATTATTAGAAATGACACTAGCTACTGAACATTGTCAAGTAGTATAGGGTATTACATAGTTTTGAATAAGAATAGGGTTGAGATAGAATGTTAATGAGCTTAACATATATTTTTCATACTACTGCCTTGACTTTTCTTTCTTTAATCACACCAATTTATTCTTTTATTTTTTTTTGTCTACTAGTGGGCCACTTTAAAACAACCTCTTGAAACTGGTCTTATATACGGTTCCATTCTAGTCTGCTTCATCGTTTCTTTTAAATTATTCAGGAACTTGTTCAGTTCTCATCGTCACCATCATCTTTCAGTAACTGTAAATAACCAGTTGTTTAACAGTGATAATTTTTCAAGCTATGAATATTCATTTCAAATATTGCGAGATTTTATTTCACTATTAGTTATCATTCAGGTAAGTGGACTGATGTACGAATGTGTACATCTTCACTTTATTTCTTGTGATTTTATACTTATTTGATGGATTATCTCAGGATAATCATATAATAATTTATGTTAAATACAAAATTCGATTCAGAGAAGATATTACATGTGCTACAATTATTTTATTTGTTATAGTTTCCATTTTTTCGAACATATTCAACTGACGAATCGATCCCAAATGGGACGAAACATACATTCTATATTCCACTGTTAACGATTATTCAACTTTGATATAAAATCTATTGCATTTGTCTTTTCTGTCTTTTAAGATCAGCATAAAAGATGAATTGTACCATTCAATCAGTAGAATGGACGTTCAGAATTGTAATTTTCTATCAACTAATCTTTCAACATGATAAATTTGCTATAATTATGGGCTTTTAATATATTAATGGTTTCGAAAAGACTTATTTGCAATGTTAAGTCCTTTAATTCTAATCATTTATTTATGTGCAATGTATTTTCATTACTAAATGTCTGAACTGCCATTAATACCTGACATTTATGTAGAAGTACTGATATTTTGATGAGTAACATATATAGTGATTTCTCAAGCGATTCATGCTACAAGTAACAACGAACGAACCAAATAGTACATAATTAATTGGTAATAATTTAGGAATAGCAAAATATGTTAGTGCAGTTAATATGTCTATTGTGAGCTTAGAATAAGAAGAACATATAAATACAGTTATCTAATGATTACGTGTAAATAATAATGATCTAAAAATGGTCCTGAAAGTCCCAACTTACCCAATACTCGTCTCTTTATAATGTGAACACAATTTTCCACCTAAGTATGTAGCATGCTAAGAAGTAAATATTATCTTCCTTTAGACAGGTTCGAATCGTTGATAGCATGATTACCAGGACTCATTCTTACTAAAAGGTAATCACTGCATAAATTATTGGCTTTTAACATGAACTCCTATTGTTCCGGCGATATACATTTTCTATTCCCAGTCTTAAGTCTGAACAGAAGAACATAATAGGAAAGCTTCTATTACTAAATTCCAGGCCCTCGTTATATATATTGGTCAGATCACTATATACCTTGAATATGAAATCATATTTTACATACGATCATGCTATATGTGGGACATAACAGATAAAATAATACATAGTTACCTAACGATAATTAAGGAATAATAAAATGTATAACAGTGGTTGATAAGTCCACTTGAAGCTTGCATTTCAAGGAGTACAGCAGTCTAATGATCTAAAAATTGAATGGTAAAAATATAAGCCATATCAGTCCGTAAAGCAGTTCCTAAAGTTCAAAACTACACTACTCTCTTCGCTACAATAACTTAGAAATAAAGTACGTAATATACATATGTAGCCCACTTCTAGTCCCACATTCCAACTGTTCTATAAAACTCGTGATGAAAATGAATTTGTCGAGGCGATTCTCACAGGATGAATGCTTGTCAAAAAATTCTGATGAAAATTTAATCCTAAATACCAACACGGGATAATTAAAATCCTTACTAATATTGATGTAAATGTCATTCTCGTTAGACAACTTAATCGTTATCTAGTCTCAGTAGCTCCAGCAGATAATGTATCGGGGTTTGGGACTAGAGGTATTGAGTTTCAGTGACAATGCCAACACCACACTGGAATGTAGGTTCATTCAGTTGACAAGTATCAAACAGGAAGAAACTCACTTTCAGAATTCCGTAGCTAGTTACAAACCATCTATGTTATATACAGTGTTACCGAGAAGCTTCTCAAATCTCCCGCTTTCTAGAACTTTCTGAAGATTGTTTGGAACTAAAGTTTTCGGCTTTGTGGAATTTACATCTTTCAGTTAACTTCATAATCAAAACCATATTATATGATTGTCATTTGTCCAAAAACTCATAGGTCCATCCAGCATACATTCCTTTCCAACTTGTTTCCAATTTCTGATGGCTAGGACAGAAACTAAACTAGTGTTGGTACAATTTCTAAACAATATTATTATCTTGCCTATGGTTCTGCAAAATTTTATCATAGTAACCATCTACCTATGTTGTATATCGTGTCATAAAACTTATTTGAAATAAAACTTTAGTTCTTATTCTTAAATTATTTTTTAAAAATTGCATGAATTTACGGCTATGTAGTTGGCGATTTTTACGATTATGGCTATGTTAATTATGAGACTCAAACTGTTCTGGACACCTCAAATGTGTTTATCACTCGCTATATTAGCTCAGCCTACACGATGGTTTGAAATGTTTCATGAAGTGAAAAGCATTGGTGGCCGTGTATTTCGTACATCGTCATTGAATAGCGCCTGTGAACCTGAAAAAAAGACAAAACGTTTATTTTGGTTTCATCATGTTATTTATACAACAATACTAGTATTGTTCATAGCGTTTATGGCTGGACGTGGTTTGGAGAATTTGAAAGTTAGTTGTAACTTTTACTGTCGATTTTTGAGTTTCACTGCTATTACATTGTTAACGTCGTAAGCTTTTTTAGCCATATGATTTTTGATATCATGTAATTAAAATAAAGTAAGAGCTGGTATTAATATGGGCCCAGCGAAGTTATCAAACTAGATCAGTACAACAGATGATCTATAGCAAAATATTCGAAGTAATTCCCTATGATAATTAAATCAATAGACGTCTAGAATATGGCTCAAAATGAATGGTTGTGTGGAATAAATAGTGTGAAACAACATTGAAACTCAAGATCTAAGGATAGATGAATGTGGGCCACTATGACCGTTTTGTAGCAATATCACCCAACGTCAATCATTGGTCGTAATAATCTTACAGACAAACTCCGGTCAAGATCTTTGAACCTTCCCACATGATTAAGTTAAACAATCATAACTCCATGGAATATTGTTTGATGCTCTACATTATCGTCTGCTTAACCTCCATTGTGTCTAGCTATATTCACAAGCACAGAAATTAGTCTGTAGAAATCTCTTGGTGTTATTCCTGGCTTTCGTTATGAAGAAGTGTTTTAGTGATCACTTGAACTTTTAATTATTAATAGACAGTCTAGTTACTTATTATCATCTGATATTTGTCAAATTATTGCTATATATGACCAAATTATTTCTGTTTATGATTTTGTTGATCTTCATCTAATTAGGTTGTTGAACCATTAAGCATACAAAAACCATGGGACTTCATGGTTCAGTAATTTTTTGTTACGTTTTTTCTCGTCGTTTATAATTAAACGTTTATCCTGATACAAAGTTTGATAGTAGTGACTGACACGATAGACTTCACCTACATGGCTATTACCAACTGGTATAGTTAGTCAATCTGAATATTCTTTGTTTTGGTAACAATCTATTACAAAACTGGAAGTTGGAGCTAGAAACAATATAATTGGTAGATTTTAATACACCATTTGTTAACTGATAATGATCACTTAATTTGGGATATGGCGAAAAAGAAAAAATCAAACATCTACAAAATAAATTGTTTCAACTGTGAGAAGCACTCCATCAAACAAAGGGGATTGCTCTTCCTCGTCGTTTGCACGAGCACCTATGCTGTTATGTATCTTTGCTTAAATCAATACACATACACAATTGTAGGCACATATTGTACTGGGGAAACGTTAAAATCTTGGGATACAAAGAATATTATAAAAATTTTAGAAGCTTGACTCTCAGGTCAATCAATCTATAAACACACTGAAACCGACTCAGTATGTCAACCAATCAGAAAAATGGTGGACAACTACAGAATCAAGAATTGGGTCAAAGGGGAGACACAAGTAAAATAAACATGCAGACAACAGCGGGTTAAAGGTTGACAGAACAAGCTGTCGGTCTTTTGGAGAGAAATCCGACTACCTCACTTCTATCTGAAGTTTGAGCTGATGTTGTTGTTCAAAAAAACAATGAAAGTTTTACGATTAAGCCATCCAGTCCGAAAGACGAAACTTCACCAAATAGACGTATATATAAAATAATCCAAAAACTAACTAAGCATATTCATTTTTGTGATTCATATTTTGTACTTTACTTACGAATTTACTTAGAGTGTGACGTGTGAACAAGAAGCTTATCATTAAATACAAACATTATATAATCTGAAAAAGTCCAAGCCAGATTGATGAACAAAACGTTGGAATTATTTAAATTTGAATAGCTAAAATTATTCTAATACAATTTCTACATTTAATGTCTTCTGTATACTCGGCGCCCAATTTCTACCAAATGTTCACAGAAAGAATCTTATCATCCTGTTATTCTTCGTAATTTCCTAGAGTTAAGTGATTAGAAATAGTCACACTTTTACTTGATTATATTAGTATTAATAGGTCATCTTTTAACAAATGAACCAATTTATAAGCCTCATTTTATTTCAAGAGGAAAATGTACTGACATAGTTTTGAGAGAAAATGTCTAATAGTCAACTAAATCTCTGATCAACAGGACAAGCTGTTAGTTAATTTTAAAAAAAATCCCTAGTAGCTCACTTGTTTTCCAAATGTATCTTGATGATGTTGTCTAGAAATACAATCAAAGCTGCACAACTAAACTGTTCAGCTCAAAGAAAACAATACTCTTTCTGAGCTACAAATATTTTTGATCATTTTGAAAAAACCCCACTTAATTTAATGTTTATACTGATGTTATCTTTCTCATACACTAAGTTTTCTGATTTTTTTAAAATGTTAAATCTGTTAAAATGATTTTCCAAGTTCATGATATTGATAAATATTCCAATTGCTCAAGATAAATATTGCATTCTTACATAATTTTTTATTCCAATCCTTGTTAGTCTGAATGGAGTATACAAGGTTCATTTAGTGCGTATGAAAGTGAAATATTAATTAATTGGTTTCGAAGTTTACCGCAAAAACGTGAAGATTCTACCTTATCGTCATCATCCTTATCATGGATTATATCTGGACCAATGTCTTTGTTGGGCAATCTACGTTTAACATTACCAGCCTCTGCTCCTTATCCATCTACTCAAATTGTTTCATTGAATGAATCTGGATTTGCTTTTACAAATCATCCACATTATGAGAATACAATGCTTCGTTATAGAACTATTTTAGCTTATGGGATTTATAGTCGTAAACCTGTTCATGATGTATGGCATACATATCGTCATATTTTAAAAGTAAATATTATCATTCATATATATATATATATATATATATATATATATATATATATATTTTTTCAGAATGAGTTTTTGTGACTCACTAGTGACTGACTTCAGGAGAACCTCCTGGAGTTCTAGTGAGAAGCGGTCACCAGTGGAGTTCAACCAGGTCTGTTGTGAGATATCAGCTCACTGAAGACAATAGTGTTCGGTGGCGCAACTTCGTGGATTGGTTGAAGTGAGACATTAACACCGTTGGATGCCGCTCAGTGGTCTAATGGTTAAGTGTTCGAGCGCGAAGCCAGTAGGTCCTGGGTTCGAATCCCGCGGGGGCGGGTTCGTGGATCTGCACCGCTGAGGAGTCCCATACTAGGACGAAACGGCCGTCTAGTGCTTCCAGGTTTTCAATGATGGTCTAGCTTCAACTGACTCATGATTTCAACCTGTGATATATTTATTTATTTACAGGGAATATATCCTGTTTTTTTCTCCACAATCACACTGAAAACTGTCTTAGTTAATTTTTACTGTAATATACTTAAAAGAAAAGAATATCTAAGCAAACAGTTACCATATAGCAAAGGCTTACCTGTGGAAATCAAATGCATTACACAATCTCTCAACGAACCACAAGCTTCTAAATAATAAAAATAGTTCCTATTTAATCCTGTACATGAAAGTATTCTGTACTACTAAACTATATACTGCTAGTGAATAAATTGTTTAGTATAATCTACCTTGACTTAGGTAAGATATTTATCATTCCCAAACGCTTATTGCATCATGGTGTATTTTTGTTTTGCATACGAGATCGATGACTATCACAGTGGGTATTCTGAAATAATGACATACTCCAAATAATGGATTATTATTATCATCACTGATGGCTTTATTTAATATATGTTTAATGCAATATGGAATTCTCAGCACGAAGTATTCCAACTACTCCCTTTCATAAAAAATGAAAAAAAGACAATAGATAATTGCAAACACATATACATGGAATAAGTAAATTATCTGGAATTAAATGAGACGTTTTTTAATAAGATAAGGATCTATACATCCTTAGATTCGCAAGATGTCCAAGAATACAAGTTCTTGACTAGTTGGTCACCTCTCATAACCTGTTCGTCGCATAGTATATGCGCTGGATACTAACGGTGTTGTAGAAATTTTATAAGTTTGCTTGCATTCATGGATTCCAATGTTCAACTGGAAGATATAAAAGAAATGGTTGGTATCTGATAACACTTGCCAGGAGTTTGTAAAATTTTAAATGTCTATCCGCAACCATATTCATTATAACCTTATCACATACCTTACTGAATGCCTTTAGCGCTGTCGCAACACATCAAAATCTTTTCTTGAAAGCCCAGGAAGGAATGATAGGCACTATCCAACAGTTTATAAATCGTAAAACCAATGTCGAGTAATGTCAAAAACATGTAACCTCTTTATATAAGTCGAACGGAAAACTTCCTTCTATTCCAATAAAATATGAGATCAATAGAGATCAGAGAAAAAAATCACACCATGATGATCGACCTTTGAAACTGTTTTTATTATATAATATTCAATAGTACAAACCTTATGGGGTTCGAATAGGGTGCATAAATGCTGTTCAAGCCTCAGACTAAAATGAACAGTTTGATATTTACAAGGACTAAACGTGAAACTATCAACAATAAGACACCATGCAATTAGCTGCTGGACATTATTGAATAGCATAATATGCTACACAAAAATTATCGGATGAGAAACGAAAAGAGACAAGTATTAATTTTACATATACATTTTGTTTGAATTTCCTGTTGATGTTTAGGACTGCAATAGACCAGTCTCTTATCGGCACATGTGTAACCTATGCGGATTGCCTCGATAGTGCCGTAAGTCACAAGCATTATAGGCAGATGGATGGTGGCTAGCAGTAGGATCCAGAACGGGCGTTTCGTCCTATATGTGACTCATCAGCTGGACGCACTGGCATTCCAGTGTTAATGTTCACTCCGGGACTCGAATTCAGTACCGTTCGCTTAATGAATTTATGAAACGATCACTCAAGAGAAATTCCATTCAATTTTAATCACCTTAAAAGGGTTAGAGTGAATTTCCTGGTAGTCCACGACACTAATCACTTTTTCGTGACGAAATCTACAATTTTTTTTACATTTTTTGATGCTGTAAGACAAAACCCGTTCGAAATGTAATTTTGTGCATCACCGCCAGCAAAACAAGCTGAAATTTTGTGCGTTGTATGATTTCCGTTTGTTTGCGAAATTTCGAATCACAATATAGCTAAATCTACTTTATGTTGTGGTATTTTGAATCTATTAATATATTTAAAGTGTATGGTAATGAACTGTTTTGTGCGTTACTTAACATATTGGGTCAGTCAGAAATCTGACAAATCATTAGTACACCTGATTGGCTGTATATGATGTTAATTTAATTTCTCGTAAAATTGAATCTGAGAAGCTAGACCAAACTTTTTTAGATGGGAAAAGTGATATATTGGCTCAGTCAGAAACCAATCCAATGATGAGTCCATGTGATTAGCTAAAAAAATAGTTTTCATTTTCTAGGAATGAAACACCATAGGTGGCTTTATATTCTAAGGAATATAGATGTGTACAGATATCGATTCGCCTTAGTCAATAAACTTTATTTTAAACTTCCAGTCTGTACACTTAATCAACTGGTTGTACTCATGTTTGGAGAAGAGTGTGTATCACTTTCAACTCCTGAACACCGCAAATCACAACTCTTCTGAATTCTGTTGCTCAGAACATCTACTTTTATTTACTGTTAATTGAAATTTTCAACTGATTTTTTTCAGGCTGATTTTGTAATAGTAGAAACTCATACATGTCCGTCTAGAGGTGGATGCAGTAAACCGGAACTTTTTGATCTACTCGATACAAATCTTGCTGGACGTCCAGCACTATGTGAATCACTAATGAATATACAAGTTTTAAAAGCTGGTAGAACTCCGAGTACTTTGGAACCATATTTTACAGTTGTTTATGTTGAACTGTACACAGGCAGAGTTGTACTATATGTGAATAAATTGACGTAATATATAATGGAAGCAAGTAGGCTGCTTACAGCTTTAAAGATTATGTACAGTGTCGCCATGAATGTATGTTACCCAGATGCTCAATCATTTGTGATTACAATGTAAATCTCTTTGTAAACACAAACTACTAATCATTTCATTTTTAAAATGTTATTAAATCTAATATTATCAAAAGTTATGCATAGCATTTAAATAAACGTTATTTGATTGTTGTTTAAGAAAATGTTATGTATTTTTCATTTCTCTGTAAAATAAGGTCAATCATGTATTTGAAACAAGTGAATAATTTAAAAAAAACCAGTTGAAATATAAACAAAAGAGATTCAAAAGAATTTTAATTAAGAAAGTTTAGGCTGTACAACGTTGAGGAGCATTCACAATGCTTTAATCTTCATCTTCTTCGGATAAACATACACGTTCTACTATACGACGTTGGGGTTTAATCTGAGCTTTCTCCTTGCGTTTTTTCTCGGGTAAAGTCTTCGTTTGGTTCGGAGGTTTTTTCACAGATTGCCTTCGTCGAGGCTGACGTAGTTTAGGTAATTCAGAAAGCACGTTATTTTCATCTCTCACTAGTGGTGTATGCTGTGAAGTGCTAGGAGCATCAAAAAATCGATTTGTTGTTCTTTGATTTCGCAAGCGACTGGCTGCGTGACGAACGCGCTTACTCGGTACCGTTACCTAAAATATGAAAAGTCCGAAATAAATACCAATTAGAACACTTAATGAAGTTTATTTGCTTTTTTTAAAGGATGTTATTGATCCTACACGAAGATTTTCGGGTGTCAGATATAAACGCTTTGCTGAATTTCAGAACAAAAGTTCTACAAGATTTACTAGAACACTGCTTGTTGAAAACTGTAATATCCCAAAATAGACTCATTTATTCAGTTAATTTCGCTTATTCGATACACTAAATTGACTGTTGCTAGGACCGTACATAAGTTCAAGATAACGAACAGAATAAAGCTAGTCTGTAAGCATTCAACATCACGTTAAGGTTTCAAAGCTATGTTCTCACCGATTCTAAATTAATCAAACATTGACTTTATTTAGATATCTGATAAGTTGCGCCAAGTTATGCAGCGTTAGGACTTACTGGTGATAGTTACTGATAAACGAGTAAACACCCAGTGATGTTTAAAAAGAGATGGGTATCTCGATCAAGCATAACTCTCTCTCTCCATATATATGACTAAAAAATACTGGAAATGTTAAAGATTGTCCGATTTTTTTACCAGACCCTCTAATAATTAATTGTAGTTCTCCAGTATAAAATACAACTTACTTCATCCAACTCTGATGAATCAACGGATGACTAGCAATTTCTGATTTTTGGCAAACCTTTTGGTTCTCAATCTGAAAAAAATTTGTTATAAGTGATTTGGACGAAAGCATTTCTCTAGGATCCCCAAGTTCCATTTTTTGTCTATGTTTGAGTACAGAAGCCAATATAGCCTCTGTTTTTTCAGTATTCCATCCCAATAAGGTATTCACATGTGTGTAATAGAAAAAAACTAAGGAAGAATAGTAACAAACTTCTATTCATTCATAATTAACATTGACATGTTTGGAATCGGGAATTAAAATTGTTCAATTTATCCACTTAGAAGTATTGGATTATTTCCCTTTACTACAACCTTTTTGGGGGAGGCAGTTTCCACCTAATAATCTAGGCATAAATGATTAAATCAGTTAGTAAGGAGTTTGGACCCTCGTTCGGATAGTCTGTCGTAAACAACTTAGTACATATGTGTATATTGGTTCAATATTTGGTCGATAAATCCACGTTCAGGTCGAAAACCAGTCTGGTTTTCCCAAATTTACTGTTCGCAAGCTCTAGTTGAGTATCGATTGGCTACTGAGTAATATTTCAGACACCAATTCCTCTGTGTGAGTAAATTAATATATTTGTAATATCCCAATGAGTAGAAAAATTAAATTTTCTGACGTTTCGTGACTCAGTATAAGCCACTTCCTCTATGATTATCAAAAAAGTTTCATCTTTTACAAACTGGGACGGTAAGCCGTCAACACCAGTCAAATTAGAATACATCTAATTCCTAAGCTCTATCTATAATATCTCAGTCGATCTAACAGCTGAATTTGAGCTCGTTTAAGCAATTTAATAATATGTGTGGTTTTCACATAAGTATGGTACCAAGACTACAAAAAGAGCATTTCCTTAGTTGCAATAATTACTTAAGTCACTAAGAATAGATCTAACTCACATTGCCTATAACTCAATTTTAATGATCCATAGAGTTTTCAAGTCAACAGAAAGATCCTTGATAAACAAATTTATCATTAAACTTTCTTTGTACGCTTATATCTTGACAGCTTTTTCTCCATTTTCTTAGGACAACTGTATATTCACGTATACAATCTGTTTTACAGCTAAAACTTAGTTATTTACACAACTTGCACTTAACAAGGCGAATTTCATAAGCCGTGCTTCACAAAATTTAAGCATTATTAAACATTAAAGGCTTTAAAATCAGTGATTAACACTGAATGAACAGGATAGGTAGGTTTTTATTCACTATCGTGATGAATCTACCTTTATTTAACTTCATTCATACGATTTTATGTTGATGAAAGAATGAATAATACTAGAGGGAATCATCTTACGATGTTGATTTTCGAATATTAAAGACTATAATTCCAGATGGTGTAGAAGATTTGTAATTCAGGTGGAGTTTTGTTCTCTGAGTTGGATGGTTTAGTCGTGGAGCTCTCATAGTTCTCCTGAACAACATCAGCACAAACTTCAGGTGGAGGTGAAGTGTTCGAATTACTCCACGTATGACAAGCTGTCATATGTAGAGGGGTTCGAACACTTCACTTCTACCTGACGTTTGTGCTGAAGATGTTGTTCAGGAGAACTATGAGAGCTCCACGACTAAAACATCCAGCTCAGAGAAAATTACGACAATTTATTGTCGTAATTTACTCATGTTAGAGTCATCCGATAATATAGTTGGTGTTCTATAAACAAATTGGAACACTTTCTAGTTTTTTTTCTTAACTAGTTGTGCGACGTTTTCTTTTCTTTAAAAAAAGGATATTTGACAAGAAGCGGTACATTCGGTGGTTCCCATTTAAACGGCGGCAAATCGGTTTTGACATTTGGGTAGAGGTAAGCACGTGCAATACGGCTATCTGGAAACCCTGATTAAAAAAAGATAAATAACAGGAAACCGTTGTAGCGAAACAATACCTTCTCTAATGTCTCTTAGGTCCATGCAAATGTATGAATAAAATCATATATACTTTTGGAAGAAAATTAATCGACTATATGTAATTATCCTCAGAAGAACAATTAACGTGCTTAGAATTCCCAAATGCCCTGGTATGGCCGAGGGTGGGAAGAGCCAGCTCTCCCTCTCGAAAAGCTCTCACACGGCCACGCGTATACAACCACTGTCAGCGAAGTCCTACTCACTGCCTTCTCGCGGTGGGGGTGTTGTTTACGAAGTTAAGAGGACGGAAAGTGAATGTCCGGCGCTTTAACCGGGATATGGAAGATCCACCTTGCGGAGTTGAAAAACCCTGATTCCAAACCAATGATCCACATGGGCTCTAGGATCCTGAGCGAACAAAAAGCATGTGAACCTATTGTTAGTCACTGGCTACTATGGGACTGCAATCTCCTTACGTTGCTCCACTGCTTTATGGATTAGACCTTCATGTCAAACGCTGCGGGTGTGGCCCCAGTTTCGGGACCCGGGCAATATCACAGCCCTCACACAAATAAATCATAACTACTATTGACCTTATTGTTGTTATGTGACGCATATGTATTTGGTTCTCCCTTGTACCAATGTTTGTGTTCAAATAAATAAATTGAGGCTTCTAATGTGACACAGTGAATATGAACTCGAATAAACCAGACGTCTGTCAAACAACGACTCGTTAACTTTAATCATATACAACCGCTGATATATAGACAACATCCTATGTTCTAGAATAATTTTATAATTTATACAGCAGTCAAAACACTGAAAAAGAATAACTCTGATTTTATAGTGACATATAATGACCACTTTAGAGCCCATATAACAGTGTAAGCAAGTTACTAACGATGATAACCATTTAGATGACAGAAAAGATCATTAGAGAAATCTGGATTAGAAAAATCTCATAGTAATCATATTTTAAAGAAATAAATGAAATGTATGGCGATATAAAGACTAAATGACCTGATTTATTCTTAACATACATAGAAAGCACACTGAGTTTTCACTTGAAATCAATCAACATCAAATAAATGAAAGAGCATCAAACATGGTTTAGGGAAATTTATAGACGAACTAATCAGATATATGATAACAGGTCTTGGAGTTTGACGCGAAATTCGTTCATCCACTTGGCTAAATAGCGTTTAGACGTTTTTGGCTGATGTCAGTTCTTGATAAAAAGCTCTAAATCTAGTTCCTAACCATCAACTGTAAATTATAATATTGATTCTTTACATTGGTTTATAACCCTCATCTAATCGTAGTTAATAGGTAGATATTCTCTTGGTCACAGCGTCACTCAAAGGTCGTCCATAAATTATATTCTCACTGAAATTTTAAACGGAAGATATACATAAACATTTGTTTGTACATACCTGGATATGGTTTCAAGTTTATCCAACGACGTCTAATTGGATTCGATTCAGCTATTCGAAGTATTTTCATTGATTGTGAGGAATTTTGTGAACGAGTAGTTTGCCACCAATGTCTAAATAAAGATAGATTTTTAATAATATATAAATTACAAAATAGTGAATCATTCTTATAGATTAGATAATGAATTTATATTGTTTTATGCACATTCTATGAATGTTATAGAGTCAAGTTTCAAAGTAGTATTATTAAATGTACTATGAGATTTTATAAGCAAAGATGGATAGTGGTTAGCAGTAAAATCAAGGACGCGCATTCCCCCCTTATTTTGGACTTGTCAGGTGGATGAACATGCATCTCAGAGTTGACGTTTAATTCTAAACATCAATGAGGAAATTCAAACAAACAATACAAAATGAATGAGATTTTAGTTTGTAATGATACTTTGGTTTTTCCCAGTGTATAAACAGGTAGTTTGAAATTTTTGTGAAACTCAAGAAATACTATGAACTATTCATAGAAGATAAAGGATTAAAAACAAGACATCTGTCTTCAAACGAATTAAACTTTTCAGTGACACCTTTTGAGTACTATAAGGATGGAACAAAAAGAATGATGATTATTGACATCCTCCTATGTTCATGAAAAAAGATTGAACGTTCACTGTCTCTTGTTTTTTCTAGTTTTTAATTCAGTGTTCAGATGAATGCTAGTGAACTAAATATTGAGAAATTATATGTGGTCATTATTATCACAAAATGACGAGACAGCTAAAAATCCTGATTTCTGAAGATTTTCAGGGATGTTTTCAATAATATAAAAAGAGATGGAATATAACACGATAAATAAGAAAATACAATAAGTGCCTAAATAGGATATTTAGAGTAAAGCATTCAGGATACCAAGTGCATGATTAAGTTACAGTGATTTGAGAACAGAATAAGATACAGTGGTTGTTATGTCCTAAGGTCGGCCAATGCACATAAATGACCTTAAGCAACCAATACGCAACAAGGACAAGAAAGACTGATACTCTATACTTGGCGCTTGGTCCAATACTAACTAACCCCAAACGAAGAGGAAGAACACAAGACCAATAATCACCAGTCCAAGATTGTTCTTATATTTCAGATAGACGTAGTTTATGTACAAGTAGACCAAACCACATCACACAATAACACAAGAAATAACAGTTATACATGATCAAGCCAAAAAGGTGACTGAGAGTAGGAGAGACTGTGAATAACAGATTGGGAATAAATTGAGAACAGTAAATTTTGTAACAGTGGTTAGTGGGTCAATCGAAAACTTATGATAGAAGGAATATATATGATAATAATAATAAGCTAATTACTTAATAATTATATTATATATATAATAACAGTCCGTAAATTAGTACAGGAAAGTTCCTATTCTTCTGGTCTTCGTTTAGATATAATAGTGACAGTTCATGGGTCAGATGAAAACTTATGATTAGGCGAATAAAGTGGACACATAATTAACTTGCTCATAATAATAATCGAAATAAGGGTAACAATATGGCAAAACATTAGATTGTTCAGTTTGCCACTGTCGTTTATTCTTTTAGTTATAACAGATCAAAAGTTGGTGTTATTTATTATATGAACTTGAGAAAATGGAACTTACGTGAATTGTTCTAGTGGTTGTAAGATATCATGAAGTAATTTTTCGGAAGGTTCATTAACAACACCATGAAGCCAGTTGTTAATTTCACAATTTAATGAATAATCATCACCATCATCAAATTCACTCAATATTTCAATAGCTGTAACTGGACCAACCTGATCAATTCCATGTGTATAATCGCTACCACAGAGAAGCGTCAAACGGAGAATATTCTCTATAGTAAGGCCTAAATATTCCGAATTGTTATGGTAAACGTTGAGTACATTAACTATGATATACAGTTACATAATTGTGATAGTAATAAAAATAATGACATCAACTCGTAAGTATATTTATATTTGGCTATCATCCCATTTACGTATGATTTCGTCATTTAAATCTGTGTAAGTAGGATGAAAAATAGATTGATGAATCTAGTTTCGTAATATACGATTGGTACGGAGGATCCACCTAGGGGAGTTTGTAAAACATTGGTCTTAAAACCAATGATGGGCATGAGCTCAAGAATCTTGAGGAAATAAATAGCGTACGAACGTATTCTTAGTTACCGGTTTACCACGGGATCTTATCTCATGACGTTGCTCTACTACATTTTGAATCAGACATCTAGATCAAAGGCACGAGGAGTGGCATTCTAAGAAAACCACTTGCCTCGGTTTGGACAACCGGGGCAGCATCCTAGCTCACAAATTCAATGATGATTACAAATGAGAAGAAAAGTTCTACTTATATGTTTCCACGGAGTCAATTAAATTAGTAATATTCCGATTTTCTGCCTCAAGCAACAGTTTTGAATACAAGGTAAAGCATCAAACACACGTTACTGATGTGTGTCAACAGGTGTTTCTAACGATTACATTCAAATTTAAAGATGAATCACTGTAATATTGAGTTTATCTCTTATACAACAACCAATTCATCAAAATTTCAGTCAAGGTTAAGAATAAAGTCAAATGAAATCCGTTAGTGTATAATACGAATATTTCCTGATATTACAGACCGATCACACGAGATGCAATGCAATCCAACCTAAGAAAACAACCTTGTGTTTTTGTTTTCTTCTGACATGACAAAACAGGCAGTCCGATGATTACAAAAGAACCAAGCACCAAGTTATAAAGCGTGAATACATACATTCTGATTAAAAATATACTCTAAATATGAAGTATGGGACGGTGTACACAAGTACGAATATTTTATTATTATGAGTTATCTAACTGTTAAATAATAACGTATGGTTGACAGACACTAAACGTGATTGAACTTTATAGTTACTTATAATAGTAAACTATTACATTTTTAAAGCAATTAAGTTACCTAATTTACGTTTTACTTCATCCAGTTTGTAAATGGAAGGATTTGTTGTTCTTTTTAGATTATCACCACCACCAGTACCAAACAAATGACGACAGACAAGTTTAACACCGAATGGCCATACATCTGAATCATCACTTGCAACTAAATCAACTAGACCATGACGTTGTAAAGCTACACATTGAGCTTCGGCTTCTTCTGGACTAACTACGAATGGAAATCCGAACAAATGAAGTAGATCCTACAAAATATAAGAAAACAGTACTTGGTTGATCAAAATAATAATAATAATAATAATAATAATAATAATAGAGTTGAACTCAAACATGTCCAAGATAGCCTGGTGTCTTATTGTTTTCAAGATCTCGATATTCAAGCACTACTCAGTAAGCGATTTGAATCCTACTCAGTCTACTACGGGTTTATGCAAATATAAGTAACATCACTAGCCCTCAAATAATAGTGTGTTGTCCACAGTAGATTGTGCGAATCTGTATTGCACATTTTTCCCCTTCACAAGTAGGGCACAGGCTATTGTGCATACTATGTGGATATTTGTAATATTTCAATGAATGGAAAATCAAATTTCTGAAAATCTCCTTGGTGCAAGTCGCTCCTTAAGTGAATAAACAAATTATCGAACTAAATTAACACAAGTTTAAATAATACAAAGGAAACAAAGCAGAAAATATGGTACAATTGAAATAGGTCGGATCATATCAACGTCACTTCATTTCTATTGAGCTGATTCTGCAGGTATGTGTGTGTGACATAATCCTGTGCATTTGTGTCTATTTAAGTAGATGTGAAAAAACATGATATATTTAAGCGTTAATGAGTCAAATTAAATTTATAAGTATTAATGGTAAGAGAAGTGAATAGAATGAATTGAAGTTGTTTGGCTAAACCGTTCAAGTTGAATAGTTAGTTAGGCCTTCCTTTATATTGACAACTGTGGAGTTTAACAATATATAAACATTTTCAGTTACTTAGCTTTCTTCATGATTGGAAATAACTTTTTGATTTATTCTGGCACTTTTAAAATTAATTTGGTGGTCGTTGAAAGTATCATAAATTGCTATTGATGATTTGATGTGTAGAATTTACAGTTCCATAAGATGATTAAGAGATAGTTTTGTGCAGCTTAAGTGTTATTTTTTGGTAGGAAGTCGAACTCTCACAAGACTCTCCAATACATAGAAGCATTACAGTAGATACAACCTAATCTACAGATGTAATTCTGTGAAGAAGCACAAGGGATCTTTCCTAGAATTCGAACTGAAACACTAAAGGGAGTTGGTTGTTTTTATAGAACGTTTTTTAATGGGATCACTTCCTCCATAAGATATTTCCCTATAAATATTATTAAGATCATAATATTTTCAAAAAGTTGTAAGAAACTTGACAAAGAGATGATATTTGTAGGTTTTACTCGTCACGGACTAATCTCGGTCGAGATACCATCAAAAAAAGGGTATACTGAGCAACTATTACGACCAAGAATACGACTCCACAGTAGTAAACATTTACGAACCCACTAACAGTCGAATCCAGAATCTTCAAGTCTCGTAGAAAAGAATAATTAACTATTAGAGCCACTTCGTGGAGTCCAATCGTATAATTTCAACCTTGATCAACTTGCGAGATAGAGAGATCAATAATTCATGACGAATACAACCCATAAATGAAACCAATCTCTAAAAAACCCTTTTAGCTGCACAACTGATATGTTGATTTGGTGGTCAGTTTTGATTTTCATAATGACCAGGATAAGTTACCTCAGTCTATGTACTTATATTTTCGAAAGACAGTTTACAGACAAAATTAAAATATTATCAGAAGAGAGTTTTGTGGAGATTTTAGTCATTTAATAGTTGAATTCATGAGTCAATTGAAGCTAGACCACCATGGAAAACGTGGAAGCACTGGAAGGCAGTTTCATCCTAGCATGGGACTCCTCAGCAATGTGCATCCATTATTCCGCCCGCGAGACCGATAGGTCCTGAGTTCGAATCCCACGAGCGAAATCGTTAATTTTCTGATAATTAATAACTGTACTGTCCAGTTCCAATTGGAAGAGTACTACTATATTAGGATTAGAAAACCTCAAAGTGTGGGATTTTAATCGTAAATATTAACTGTTTTACAAACGAGGCTGTAAAATTTCTCCTCATATAACCAGTAATTTATTTTTAAGTTGATGGGAAAATAAGAATCTGGACGTATTATTAGATTAAATGTAGAGGATTTACCTCAACCTCGGTTCAACAGTATAGAAAACAAATCACAGGTTTCCATAATCAGCTGACATGTAAAAGTTCAGTCTTTAGCCAATGATTCGCGGCTTAGAACCTACCCCTCCACCTACTTTAGTTTAGATAACTGGATAGTATCACCAGCTCTCGGATTTTAAATGTTGCTCGAAGTCAAGTACACATATTGGCAGTACTCACAACTGTGTGTGTTACTGATAAATAGAAAAATGTATAGATGATTTCTAAGTACTCATGTCGCTTAACAGTATTACTTCCTCCAACCACCATCTAAATCTCAATACATAGTGCCCGCAGTGTCGAGTCACCTAGACTGGTGGCCACATTGCAACATGATCGATAGCATTCGATCTGGACTAATAAGGACTAGACAAGCATGACATTGATCACCACCCAGTGATCAATCAATTGTGATTACATCTCAGTCCTACAGGAGGTTAGTCACGGCTCGGATAGCTCAGTGGTAACGTCTCTGACTGTGAAGCTGGGTGACACGAGATCGAATCCGCCAGGGAGCACCAGTTCCCTCAAGATTACAGGTACACCTTGCTGACGAGTGCCAAGTAGCACGAAACCCGGGTCCAGGATTTCCTGTTGACTACCTCCAACCACCATCTAAATCTAAAGTATTACTTCCTTATTTCATTATATTTAATGTCAGCAATCCCAGTATGTAATCTTGACCGACTCTGCGTTAATTACACATTTGAGAAATTAGAAACTCGAAGACGAGAACTTTGAAATTTACAAATAAATGCCAAATTTTGAATTGAACTTATTTAGGTAAATCGATAAAAAGTTCTGCCTTAATAGTCAAACGTTAAAGAAAATATAAGGATTAAATTACCCTGATTTGGCTTGATAAACCAATGTATCAACATGCGAGGCTATTAACTACAACTGCTTAATAACTACATTTAAATTTGACCTAAACAAATAAAAAATGGGGATTTTTTACCTGGGCTTCTGAAATACAACGCGTAGTTGTCGACTGAGCTTGACGTATCAAACGATCAGCTTTTTCTCTCAATACATCATCACTATCATCATCAATGGTATAGTCATCCACGACTAATTCAGATGATAATACAGCTTCCTGTTGATTAGTTTCATAGGAAACTTTTTTACTGGTTAATTCTTCTTCAGTGAAGACGGAATTTAATTTATCCTCATTTTGAACATTGTTTTCATCGACAGAATATTCTTGTGATGAATTCGAGTCAGTAGATGTATTCGAAATTTCAACTTGTTCGTGAGTTTCAACTTCGATAAAATCATCATCATCATCGTTATCATCACTGCTACTTTTGATCTCATCATATTTATCCTGATGAGGTACTTGTAAAGATTCTGATTCATGTATATCAGAAGACAATACATTAATTTCAGCAATAATTTCATCATTTTTGACTCCCATAAGGTCACATGAATGTTCTGGAATAGGTAATTCGATAAACTCCGATGACTTATCAAACTTAGGGATAGTAGATGAACTTTCTGGAAGAAAGTCATTGGACATACTAGCATTTAAAGAATTTTTCGTAAGTGGTTGATTGTAATTTTCGCAATTATCATTAAGTTGGCTTTTATTGTCAGTCACATGTGATAGGATAGACACTTGATGTTCATCTGAATATTCCTCGATATTAACTAGTTTTATTGGTGTACATTCAGAGTTATATACAATATTTTCATTTGTAGAAATATTTGTCTCTTGTGTTGAACATAGGTTTTCACTCATATAACCGTCATTATGTATTTCTTTGTTCTGGTCCTCTTTTGAAATTTCCACTTTTTTGCATTCATCAGACACATTTAAGTTCTCAGTATTATATGTAATTAATCTGAGTAAAACAGAAAAAATTGTATGCATGTACAGAAGGTTTACAAAAATTGCTTCTGAGCATTCACTATTAGAAATGACAATATTTCGAATGAATCAATCCTACTGAGTAATTTAAACATGGAGCCATTCCATCGAATAGCTTCTATAATACTGTACATGTCAACATAGTTGTTATAGACGAATACTTTCATAGACTAATCATTTGAACTAATTGTGTAAGAAGAAATTTACTCAGGAGAAAAACTTGAATTTAGCACTTTTACAAGATTAGCCAGAGCCTTTGCATACACTCACTCTTAGTGATGGACTATCAGAATTAGTAGAAAAGCTCGTGCACCTGGATAGCCGTGTGTGATGGTGGCGGAATGTCAGATGAGAGCGATATACGTGTAGTGAAAGCCAGATCGTCTTACAACAGTCTAGGCCATCACTGACGTCATCGTAATGTTAGTGTGGTTGTGAAAGGCTGGGTTTACAATTCTGAGGTGAGAGCAGTTCTGATCAATACTTGTGAAACCTGATCTCTCTGAGTTGAAGATGTTCGACTACTGTGTTCGATCATCATCATTGTGCCCAAAGGATTAATGAGTGACAACACAATGTTAGTAATGGGGAAGCTGGGTAATGTGTGATCGTAGACAATGACGATAATCCGATTAGTGTCCCCATCTTGAAATACCGAATTCGGTGGCTTGAACATGTAATACGAATATCGTCTGAGCGAATTCCAAATCGTGTATTATTTTCCGATGCCTTGACCGATTGAAAAGAGCGGAGAGGTGGTCAGTGTATGACATGGTAATGTGGTACGAAAGGATGTTGTATATGGCCGAGGTTTGTCGGTTTTTAAAGACTCCCCGGCAGAGGTCCGAGAGATAGTGCAACTTAGGAGCTTGAAGCATTGTCAGATATGGATCGAAACAGAAACCAATTGTGATACTGCTGTAAACTATTTTCTTCATAAAAGTGAGAGGAACTTCATGAACTGAAAGGAAGGATTTCTTCTAGATATATTTTTCTAACTGGACTGCTTCTCGCACTACCTATGACTCTTATTTATTAATTATTTTTTGATTATATTCATCCTACTTCGTCCATCTCTTCACTTATTTTTGTATGACGCATATTTAGTTTGATTCTTATTTGTACCGGCACATATGTGTTTAAATAAATAAGTGTACAGACGTGTAAAATCATCATTTACAAAGCAATCGTCTTCATTTGGAATGAAACCACTGTTATTTGACTTAAAAGGAAGATATTTATTGAATGACAAACTTAGTATGGGTCTAATATTTCGTATTGAGTAGATGTGGTGCACTGGAACTGAGCAATTTCGCTTCTACTCATCAATATTGAACATAATTTTCTGAGAATAAATTATACTTTATCCATGTAATGTAAACTTGATCGATTCAACTTTAAATAAAGAGGCAAAATTAACAGTCTGAAACAAGTTTTTCAAATAATAGACAAGTATCGAACGAGTTCTTCCACTGGAATTCAAAATCTACCATATTTACTGCTTTAAACTTTGTTTGAGTCTTACAGAACTGTTTAGAATTATCAGTTTATTTCAGAGAAGTCAAATGTAGTAAATTCATCACATTTTAATAATAAACAAAGTCGAGAATCCAATTAGTAGATCTTTAAAGACAATAAACTGAAAAAGCCTTGCCTCCACATCTCCTAGCAACTACCTTAAAAATGAAGTGCCTAAGTGAAAAATGGCCGCGTGTGAGGCCGAAGGTTTTGGGTATGATCCTCGAGTGCAGGGCCATGGATGCCCACTGATGAAAATTCCCATACTATAACGAAACGGCTCTCTAGTCCTTCCAGGTTTCCAATAGTGGTCTAGCTTAGATCAGTTCAGAATTTCAATGATATATGTCTATATTCGAGCTTTCGAAGAACATACTCACTTTTCAAGATTCAATGTTGTAGATGAAGGCAATTTAGTTCGTTCGTCCAACTGATTCACTGGAGATTTTTTAATGAGTATAGCATGTCCTACATCTTGCGACTGAATACGCATAGCTGTGGCTATGGTTTCAGTAGTCTCTGAAGCAGTAGTCGGCTGTGTCGTATTGGAAAACGGTAAAGTTGAAAATAACGATTGATTCGTTAGAATATTTTTCATCATAGAATTGTTTAACTGAAGAATTTGTTGAACAGCTTCTTGTTTAGTTAGATTATCAGATAACTCTTGTTGACGTTCTGCTAAACGACGACGTAAAAGCAAACGTTTCATTTGAACATCTGAGAACTGTTCTGGGCTAAATTGTGCTTTGTACAAAGTTGGAAAGAAAAAAAGATTACTGATTATGATGCGAAATATTTCATCAATGACTGTCAAGTTTCATTACAGTGCTGCTTCTAAAGAATACTGTTTATATAGAATATATGGAATGCGGCGTGTTTTTCTATTTGTGAATTGCTAGTCGAAGGTCCTAGGTTTCAGTCCTGAACGTATGATCGAGGATACTCACTTCTAAGGAGTCCATACTAGGAAGAAACAGGTGTCTAGTGGTTCTAGGTTTCCAACGGTGGTCTAGCTAAGATCCATTTGTGACTTACACTATGAAAATTCTGCAACCTCCACAAACCCCTCCATTCTGAAGTAAATAGAGGAAGGTCTTAAGTGAAAGTCAAAAATAAACACTGTTATGAAGGACGTTTTCAGTGATTGATGAGAGGATTTTCTGACTGTTATAATTAGTGGAGTAGAATGCTGGTTGATAGACGAACGAGATGATATGATGTGTGGCTGAATGATGGGTGCTAACGAGAAAGAACTATTAATGTAAGCCTCCGAATAATTAGAACTCAAAGACAAGATCACTCTAGCCAGATGAACAGATATATCTTGTTTAATAAAACATACTTATATACAGAATATGAACACAAAGTAAGCACGATCAAATTTCATTGGCGATTGGATGGATTAGCTTCTGAAGATCACTTAGCCTACAATCAATTAAGGCCTGTTTGTTAAGCTAAATGTTTAGGCATCGTAACACATTAGTATTAAATTCAAGTTGTGTTTTTTTCAAATAGTGGTCAGTTTAAAGTTTTAGGGTGAAAAAAGTTGAGTTAGGTAATTGGCTAAGGTTTCTTCACTATTTAAGATGAGTTATTAATATAAATTGAAAAGATTTTAATCGCCACACATCTACTTCTGTTGACTGGTACCTGAGAAAAACTGGGACTAGAAAAGAATTATAGAATGCGACATGAATAGTAAAACAGTTAGGCCATTAAATTAAGTATTAGATTAAAACAGCTTAGAACCTAGTACTCAGCTTTAAGCTACATATTTTGGTGAGAAGGCTAGAAAAACAAAAGTGGTAGGTTCAAATCTGTGTACTGATAGGTGGAAATTGTAAAGTGCATTAACTAATAAGCTACTGTTGAGTAAATCTAAAAACGTACTAAACTATTTTCATTAGCACAGGCACATACACACATAAAATAAGTACTCACTCGGTTAACTGTAAGCAACGTGGAACTAAGTATACATGTGAATCAAGTTACAAAACCATTATATCAGTACAACAAGATGAAATTATCCAGAGAAAATATCGGTACTCACTTTACCTTCATCATCAAATTGTACTAAATTGTTACAGCATGAACTAGAGTCTAATATTTCTCTCAACAGCTGAACAACACGTAATTGAGCTGGTAAAGGAAGTGCACGGAATGCATCTGAGTCGAGATCAACCCCAGAAAACTTCTTATCCGATGAATAGAAAGCATCCTTAAAAAATCGTTTAAGAGTCAAAGATATTAATACTTATTAGTGATATTATTATTAGTTGACGACATACAAATGTAATACAATATAAGTATCAAAAGAGGTATCGTCGTATAGTGGGATTAACATTGAAGCGTTAAAAAAAGATAAATAAAACTGCTCATTTTGTGATAAACGGATACTTTAAGTTGAATGACTGTTTTTCAATATCAAAAGATGTTACAACTGAGTTATCACTGAGTTTATCGAATTCTATATCTCTCAAGTTGCAATATGATCAACTAGTATACGTGTGACTCGATATTGTGTCCCAACTAGCACAAAACCTAAGTCCCGAGTTTCCTGCTGACTACATAATGCACGCGATGTCGAGCCACTTCAACTAGTGGCTATATTAAAAATCGTTCAATACAATTCGATCAACTTTTAAATGACCAATCACCCATAAATATCTGTCCTACAAGAGTTCAATCGCTGCCCAAATAGTTCAATGGTAAAATCTCAAACTCGGTTTAAACAGCACAGTGGGTATCGATCCCCTGAAGATTGCAAATATGACTTGTTAACAGTTGTTGACTAGTTCATACCACTTAACACATCAAGGGTATTAATTTATTCTGCTATAAAAGTAGTTATATTGTAAAAGAGATTCTTCTGACTCACTTTCTTGAATACAACAGATTTCGATGCATAAATATTCGGACTGTTCAAAAGCTTTTTAGATCATTTAATATATACATAAATCTGGTGTGACGCCCAAAGATTAAGCCTAACAGTCAAGTCTTAACTGATTTACTACAATTCCCTCACGAAGCTAGTCACTAGTGAGCACATGAAAATTATCAGTATAGGGGTTGTGAAGATTACTAGGTTTTTGATTGAGATCATGGACCGATTGACATTTGACCGACATTGAAAACCTGGAAGCACTGGACGACCATTTCGTCCTATTGTGGGACTCTTCAGCAGCGTGCGTCCACGATCCCGCTCGCGAGATTCGAACCCAGGGCCTTCAGTCTTGCGCGCGAACGCTTAGCTTACTGGACCAGTGGGCCGTCCCACAGTAGGACGAAACGGCCGTCCAGTGCTTCCAGGTTTTTAATGGTGGTCTAGCATCAATCGGTTCATGATCTCAATCAAAAACTTAATAATCTCCACAACCCCTATACTGATAATTATGAAGTTTATCTTGTCTTAATATTTTGCATATAAGCGTGTTATTTTATCACATCAGTAAGAGCTACTCATCTGACTAGAGTGATCTTGTCTTTGATTTCTAATCATTTAGAAACTAACACCAGTAACTCATTCTCCTGAGTACCCAACACTCGGTCACGCCGTATCATTCGGCTCATTTATTGATTAACATTTCACCTATTGATTTTAATAATCAAGAATTCATTTCATTAGACCATTAAAAATTTCTTCCATATCTTCTATACGTTGAAGATCTTTATACTTTTTTCTGATTTAGCGGCAAGTTCACAGAACTCAAACTAACGTATTAAAAGGTTTAGCCTACTTGAATTTATTTAATTAAACAGTTACCCGAGGAACTTTCTAGACATATCATTCATGATATACAACTACCAAAGCGAAATAATTATTGCTTCTTTGGTATAAAGTTTAATACCTTGAAAATTTAGTGTCTTTAATATCAGCCGAATACAGTTAACTGAAATTACTTTTTTTTAAAAAACTTCAAATACTGATGCCATCACCATTAAAGGTGATATATTTGCATCTATCATTAGTGTGCAGTAATATCATGCTATTTTGAAAAGTCGCATGTTCTATATTGACAACTCTCTGACCATGTCTTGTACACATAAAATATATGCTTCGATTTAGTGGTAAATATTCTTGAAAATCAAAGATATAATTATCGTCAATACAGTTGTCAGAAAGTGATATAGAACTACCAAAGCGAAATAATTAATACTTCTTCGGCTAAAGATATAATTATAAGTTTATCCAATCTGAGGATGACAACTTAAGTGAAAAGCAGATTGCATATACACTACCAATGTTGGTAAGAACAGTTACTCCTGTCTAATAAGTATATCAAAATAGTGGGGGACGCTATATTCAAGCATTTATAACTTTTGTTGGGGATGATAGACCCTCAGGAACCATTTGGTAAACGTCTTATTTTTGTAATTTTATTTTGGAAATTCGAACTTTTCATTTTCGTGTCAAAAGCGCTCATTTTTATCCTCAGATTGTATTTCCTACTTGGAAGGACCCTAAATGTCATTAGTTCGTTTCCTCTTTTAGTATGCTATTTTGTGACGTTTTCCAAGGGTATTTTTGTACCGTATATATGCGCATCAGTTGTGTGCTTGTTCGTTCGTGTTTCCGGCTGCTTGTAGGATATACACTGCCCTCGGCTGGGCGCAATGGAATAATTTAGTTTGTCTTATTGTTGTGTTGCTGCCTTTCGTTTTATTTGCCGGTTTTGGGTGATATCGTAATCTCTTCAAGCGTAGGAGCTTTGTTACAGCTTATAGCAAGTTATAAATTTAAGCAGGGATTTATTTGAGTATTCACTATATCTATTCAGATTAAACATTCCTGTAGATTTGTTATTATTCCTTATCCATGTATCTAGCTACTCTCTTATCTACTTGGGGTACATAAAAAATACAGTGAATTGATGAACGAATATTGAAGTCTTTTGAACACTTTCAGTGATAGGAATGCGAGAATATTTAGAATACATTTCCTTTAAGACGTATGCATTTATGATTAAAATGATATTAAGAAATGTAGTCCAACAAATCAAGCACTACGACAGTGCGGGACCATCTTCCATTGTCTTCGATGGGTAACTACCTCACACCATACACGGTTGAACTCCAATAGTCACGGCTTCTCACTAGAACTCTATAAATTCCATCTTAAAGCCAGTTACTAGTGAGATGACAATTTTCAGTACGTGGTTGTTCATGAAATCAATGAAATACAACACTCTACACAACTCTATGCTGAAAATCAAACTACTTGACTTCGAAGTCTGATTACCCCCGACCGATGAAATTTAGCCATATGTACAGAAGCCTCGTTACGTTTTCTATTAATCTGCCCCGCTTATGAAGTATACAAGACTGCTACCTTTCTACTGGACGATGTATGTCCTGTGTAACAGTTTATTATTGTACTAGCATAAAGCTCAACTTTAGGAAGCAAAAAACGTGTATAGTCTGCATGTGTTTGATAATAAGTATCTTCAAATAATTACTCGCTGATGGTGGGACCACATGCGGAGCACTGACGACATATGATTTAACAAATGTGACAAATTAGTTGAGGAGATCGACACCAGAGTAATTCGAACATATGATACGCATTTACTGAGCCATTATCCATCACTACAATACAGGTTATTACTAACCAAATAAAACAAAATCTAATGTGATTACTCTAAGACTACCTACCAGATAATCATGCGCCAGCTCATCGTATTCTAGACCGGCCTTTTCACTCAGCATACGATTATTATCATTACTACATGCTGTAGAACTACAATGTAGAGAAAAAAGGGAATTATACGCAACCGAAAAATTATTTCTTCTATATACAATAACGAAATAACCAAAGTTAAGTGATTTAAACTCATTTTCTGTTGTAGGTGAATAAGCAACGCTCCAGGAAAACGAAATCACTGAACAATCTGATCAATGACTTGCTTACACAACAAGCAATAATCAGTAACATTGAATAACGATTAACATTAAACTACAAACAGAAAGTAATCATCACTAACAAATAAGTACAGTTAAATTTATTGGAAAACGAAAAACCTCGCTTGTTTTGAAATGATTCTGGTTAGTTTGAATAAATTATTTAGTTCAGTTTAAGCGGTAAGGATGTACCCAAAAACACATAATGACTCGATTTTTGTATTAGATAACAGGATAGTGAAGGCGACCTTAGTGGTTAATTCCTCACTCATTTATCATTGCTTAACTTAATTAAAGGATCATTGCCACCTATTCTGAAGTAGCTTACTTGCGATTCTCCTAAAATGTATTTGTGTGCGCCAGTGTGTCTAAAAGCAACCATTCACATTAAATAAATTTCCATATCTAAAGAGTTGCAAAATGTCCATGATACCTAAAGCACGATAAGTCATCTCAGAACCGCATCAGCAGTGAAAAATATTTTGATGTCACATGCACGAAACGAACCAACTACTTGCGAAAAATAATAACAAGTCATATTATCAACAAACGCGCCTCTTAAAAATTTCAGATCAATGATCACGAAAAGTAAGTAAAATTAAAGGAATTTATTATCAGTATGGGGATTGCAGAAATTGTTAAATTTCATTGAGATCACAAACCGATCTACGTTAGACAACTATTGGAAACCTTGGAAGCACTGGACGGTCGTCTTGTTGTAGTATGAGACTCCTCAGCAGTATGAATCCGCGATCATGAAACCAGGACTCGAACCCAAGGCCCCCGATTTCGCGTGTGAATGCTTAACTTCTAGACCACCAGGCTGGGATCCGACGATGTACAAGTCTAGTTCCAATAAATCCATGAGATTCCACGACCATCTCCCTTCGTCTTTGATGGGCAGTTTTTCACATACGAAACAGTCGAACACTGGTCACGGCTTGTTTATGTTATAACGCTCGGTTTTACTTTGTACACACGTATGGGACGCTAATTTACCTTAGACGAATATCTACACTAGATTCCCTCCCAGTGTCCATTCTACAGGGCTTCAACACAACTCAGATCAAGAACATGTGATTAACCTGACCACAACGTAAATATATTTCCATTCCAAAAACCCAACACAATCCAACAACAATGAACAATCAATAATAAGTGAGTGTCTCAATAATAATAAGGATAGGGGAATATATAACTCATCTGACACCTGTCAGACTATCTATATGTCTGACTAAGCAGACAATCATCCTAAAATTTTTACTATGAGTCTGCCACATTACATTCATTTCTATGTGTCCAGTGAGATTTCATTAATTTTGCACACAAAAGAATGTTTTATTACAGCGAGTGAACTCTTAAAAATACTTCTTATATTTATGATAGGTTCATAAACCTACAATCGCTGGTATACAAAAACGATACTTACGTTGAGTCATGATTTGGAGCTGAGAACATCTTAGCATCTTCTTTAGCTTGATGCGAGTCTGACTGTTGTCTCAATCGTCTTAATAGTTCATTTTTCGCTGTAAATAAGCAGAGGTAGAAAGTTTACTAGCAAAAGATAGGTGTACATATTTCCATACATTAAATCATGAACTGACTTTAGTTAGATCACTATTGAAAACCTGTTCTGTTTCAGTATGAGAATCCCCAACAGTATACATCCATGAACCCATCACCAGAGATCGAACTCAGGACCTTAGGTCTATGGTACAAATAACATAAATAAATGAGCTTTCAAGTTAACTAAAAAATTGGGAACAAACAAGAAATCTGCGCACGAATTCAAAAATATCAGTTGGATCATCCAAACATACTTGACATGTGGCACAACAAAACGTTCGTCTGTTAGCCAGTAAATGAGTATACCGAGCAGCAGTTTGAGTTGTTCTGTTGTGTCTGTGAAACATGATATTTAAAATGGAGGATATTCATAGGTTACTAGTATTTGATTACAGAATCCTTCGGAGAATTACTTGAGTATGTTCGAACTACCGAATAAGAAATAGCAAAGTTAGACAGACAGTACTAGTTAAAGATAGGAAACCTGTAGATGAGGTGGTGAATATTCATAGAATGAGGTAGTTGGGTATACATAATACATATACCCAACCACCTCTAATCTCGACCTGCGCTGTCGTCTGGTGTACGAGGTTGTACGAAGGTTAGGGTGGCCAGACCAAGACGTGGCATCAGTCCATGAAGTCTCTGACTACTGGACTGAACTTTGTTGGTCGATTTAGACTACCTAGATGGGGACCATTTGATTATCGTAACCAGTAGCTGAAAGCGTTGAGTGATGTGGCTCAGAATCCGTCTCAATGATGCAGATGAATTCACTACGTTATACTTTGGATTCTGAGGTTTATAATTACCTTACACATTTCATCCTATGGATCTATTCTTTCTTCTCGAATCATATATTCTATGCCTAATCTTGTCTACTGCTCCTTATACTGTTACTAACTCAAACACCCTGATATTTGTCTTGATAATTTCATCTCGCTCTTCTAAGGTAGTGTGGTGACTCGAAGCGACGCATTAATGTGCCATGTTCTACGTTGTACATGACTGACTGACTTCTCAACTGATTTTGTTCACAGCATTCACATAATATTATTCAACTATTATACATTTTTGTATCTAACTCGGAGGCAGAAAATTAGCCTACGTTGTTGACAAAAATTTCCTCTGAATGGATTCAAAATTATGTGGATGGATTAATCTACTACGTAGTCAGAGGCCCATCGATAGTCAGCAGGAATGCAGAGATAAATGAAGGTAAATTCTCTATCGATAATCAGTTACAAACAAACTCATCAGAATAGACTGGTTTGATGCTTGTGGAACAATTAGAATGTTTACTTTTACATGGAGTATCTGATGATGGATGCTATTTGGAATGACAAGAAAAGTTTTCCAGTTAAAATATCCACTTCACAGAATACTAAAAAGCCAAAACCAATCATTTCTGCTCGAAGATGTGACAAAATTTCACATTAACTTATAATAATGATTCAATCATAATATTTTATCTTATACACAACAAATACTTTTTGGCTTAATTAAATAATGTAGCTTTAACTAACCAGTATCCTCAAAATATTCTACTTTATCCGGTGACGTTGACAGTGATTTTACAGAGGATTCTGCAACACGACGTAAAAGTCGACGAAGAAGATGTTTTTGGGCTTTTTCTGCTTTTGCTTCGGTTAGGCTACGCAACTGACGTCTTGAATTCTAAATAATACAAAATCAACATTCGAAGTGTGACGGACTCTTGTACAGGAAGCTTGGGTATCAGTGTCAGGATCAGACACCGAAAAGCACAACATTAATAAATACCTTATTCTTATACAGTGTTTTGAAAATTCCAGGATCAAATGCGAAATATAGTTAGTGTCAAACTGTACAACTGCTAAATTAAATTATTGATATTATGAATAGGATTATGATCGGCAGACGATGTACAATGATACAATGTGGTTTATCGTTAACTACTTACGAGATCAAGTTGCTGACACAAGCCAAAAAAAATAAACTTAAATCAAACTACCAGGTTATTTTTTATTGTATGGTTTTTTTCCAAATTCAATCTCACTTTTTAAACAGGATTAAATTTTATTTATGAGATGCGAATTGAATAGTTCACTCACTCGCCAATGAAACTACGATATGACCAATAGGTTTAAATCCTCATTCGTAATTTCAGTTAATTACCAAGTTTCTATTCATAAACAATATATTCTATGAAGGGTGTATAACATTAGATTATACCTATAACTCAATTAAACTTTATACACAAGCCAGTAGCGATTTGTTTACAATGATGTAGAAGTTCCGTTTAATCTTTGATGAAGTAGATAAAACTAACTCCTACTGACGAATTCAAGCACTTTTGATCTATCAACGTAATGAATTTTATCGAAACAGACAAAAGTAAGTAATATCGTTTGTGTATGTAACACTGTATGTTAGTTTTTATTTTAGGGATAGTTTTTTCCTTGAAACAACAATCCCACTATTCTTTATTTTCAGTGCTATAACCTACAGTTGGCAAATACCGGAATGATGAAATCAGCAAACTACCCGGGTGAACAGTTTTAATGGTTACCCTATATATTCAATTGCTATCATGTTTGCAACTTAACACATTACAAGGAATAAAAATATTAAAATAAATCCATATCATAACCAATGAGAAGTGGAGTACTCATTCATTTATATCAGCTACTCATTACAAAAAATGTGATACGGTTCAAAGAATTGTAAATAGAAAATACTCACCATAGTTGATCGTTTCAGTGCTGGAGTATCACCATCGAATACAAATACTGGTTTGATTCCAAAGAAAAGTAATTTGCATAAACGACGAAAAAATATAGCCAAATAGTTACGAGGACCACCTGCTGCGCCCCGAGATTTCACAGCTTGATGCAACCAGATGTTCATATCTACGGTGAATACCATAATAAAGTAACATATCAAAGTAAATAACTATTTTAAAATACCTGTTTACTGAAGCTGGATGACTCAAAAACAGTCAATCATAATTTCAAGTAGCAAGGAAGATTATTTGGAAACGGAGAAATTTTTGACAATATAATAGTTATTTAAATATATTTATAGGCTACTTAAATCCACAGTATCAATCATAGAACATTAGATGAACATCGTGTATACACACTGGAGTGAGGTTGACAGTTGTTAAGTTCCAAAAAGATAATCATTGAGATAACCTCTTAACTTTGAACTTTAAAACAGCCGTCCACAGAAACGTCACCAAACTCTGGTAAGAACATTCTAAACAGCGAAATAGACATTGTTGCTGCTTTATCACAAATTTATTTAAACACATAAACATTGGTACAAGGAGGCACCATATAGATATGCGCCAGACAAATCATTCGGCTTGTGTGAGGGGAACACAATGACAGGTGTACAACTTTAGATGTATTCATCGGTTAGGGTGACAATAAAAGGATGTAGGCTTTTTGTTTCATTGATCAGAAATTGCACTACAATTGCAAGAGTTGGAGTGACCCTTTGGATTGGTGATAAAGTTTAGCTTAAGTGCCTGAAGTTTTCAGGTTGATGAGGGAGTAAGTGTAAAAATGAGTTAGTTGGGTCCTTTGTCATAAAACTACACATTACGAACAACCATTGCTAAATCATGGAAGAAGGGGAGAAGTTGAAGAATACAATTGTGCATTATAAACAACTGAAGATGTACAGAGGAGTAATAAATAACTAAAAATAACGAAACTACTGATACTGTTTCTTTTCTAATATCAAGGATGATAGGAGACCCGCGTATCAATGGAAACAAAGCTGAGGAATCTAGGAACCAAGGCTGTTTGACATGGGAGTTATAAAACGGTTTCGGATCGCTTCGTTGGTGCGAAGGCGAAGTTTGACATGAGAGCTCGTTTGGATACTAAGAGACTGTGAACCTAAAAATGAACAGACCCACCCCTGATATAACGTCTTTAAAGGTATTCGACAAAAGTAGTGACTGTAAGCGTCGTTACCAGATAATATTTCTTGTCATTTCAACTGATATTTCTTCAAACGTTGGCACAAGAACCTGTGATTTTTGGCATATATTACTTGACACTAAATTACACTTTTGACAGTAAATATTTGAACAGCAACAAGATATCCCAATAGACGATAATAAATACCATCAGTATAACAGACATGTTTATTATAACTATCTTCCTTCAAAAACTGGAGAAGCTTAAGTAACAGATCAATTTACTCAAAACTACGTAGACTCTTTAAGTTAAGACAGTCGTCTATTAACTCCTAAAAAGTGGCTAATGGCAATACGTCTAATATTAAGTATCATGTTGACAGACGAATATCAGTTTCATCATTCCTCACTGCATTTGAAGGTTGTGAAAAATATGTAATTGTTTGGCTATGCACATAAAAACGATTTTATTGACTCAAGATTCTAATGGAACTTGCAAGATACATTTTGGATTTATCATTTGTCAAAGGCAGACGTCACTGTAATTAGTTCTAATCGGTCGTCTTTTTGGAGCACATTTTACAGTTTTGTATTAGACAAACTGGTCACTGAGTACACAGGAGAAGACAAAATTGGATACGATATGCCCTTAGAAGTTGGACGGGAGAGCAAAGTCAAACACAATAGGAACGTGTATAAATTGGGATACAAATGGCTGAATTTACTTCTCCAAGACTACGTAAAGAAGAAAACAAAGACCGTTACTCATGCATAATAGTTTATTATGATGACAGGCTTGAAGAAACTACTGGTCAATAAAGACAGTTTTAAGGACAATAAAATAACAATTTATTCGGTTACTAACAATAAAACGTCAGATAGAGGACTTTGAAGGTAAGTTAAGCCTACTATTTGTACAAAATAATAAGACAAGAATAAATAGACTTGCCTATTGCTATAATTTTCCCAGATAGCTGCTGTAATTCTATGGGCTCTCTTGCCGGCTCTAACAAACGCCATAAGCCAGGAACTCCCATTAGAAATGAGTAAAATACCAATCGTCGGATCGCAGATGTGATGTTAATTGATTGATTTAAATCCACTTAAACATCTACAGTGAATATGGTGTTTAATTGCAAGAAAAACATTTTTAAAAATAATTTTCTCAGATAATTGGAGTAAAAAACTCGACTATTCACCAAAAGGTCCGTTATTATCAATATATTGTGCGTGAATACGTGTTATGAAAAAGTAGATAATATTTTCATAAAATAAAGATTTTACTCATTGGTCCTTCGATCGCATGAAGTTTTTATTGATTGTAGGCTTACCGACAGTTTTATAAGCGTCTCCTTTAATTATGCTGTTTCTGGAAATATGCGTACTAAGATTTTTGCGAATAATCGGCTAGTCTTTTCAGTAGTTCTAGTCGCAAAACTTTCCGATCATTCTTTGTTATACACAGTGGAAGACAGCGTATCAATGCCTATGATCATCAAAACGACAAAACTGAACAACTACCTTTTTCCGAGTTGCTGTCCTGTTAGAGTGGTACAAATAAGAATCTTGAAGAACATTATTGTCGCTCGTACTTACTTAAATATTCGTGACTTTCCGTTATTTTACCTACTGCAATAATACCGACTATCGTATTTAATGCTTCAGCACTAAGTTTTCGTATATTCTGTGTTCGCTGCATAAATTTTGTATCTACTACAGAAGTATAGAAGTCAAAAATGATCTTATTATCAGGATTCAGATTCAGATCTATGTGCTCTAGTTCCCGTAGCTAATATCTACACCAATCATCAGACTCAAAATGTCCGACAGTATTTAAAACTTTGGACAACTTCCATCGAAAACTTAGGGTTGATAAACCAGTTAGCGCCAACACTATAAGGACGATTATATGTCAAAACAATGAGGCTAGCTAACACACAGATGAACATTTGATTATCGATTCGCAGTCGTAATATTTATCACGTTAGTTTTACTACTTCTCATCGATAAACTGTGTCATTAATTAATGACACCATGATTAAACTGATAACAGATAATCTATAAAAACACATTGGCAAGTCTTAAATCTGTAACGTTTTAATACCCTTCCTACTTTACACTTTCTTATAGTATCGTATTTTACGCATACTTTCATAAACAGCATCTACTAAAATGCTAAGTAACGCAAACTTCGCAGTTTACTCACACTGTCTTCAAACCTCAATAATCAAACTCCGATCTATGTGACGGACTAATGAATGAATTGAGCTAAGCTTGTTGCTCCTCTTGAAGCATAAACTGCTGATGAAGAGGCCTCCAAACAACTTTGTTTTTGGCTCTCCTTTTCAACTATCTTTAAATACTATTTATTTTTGATACTAAACGGAACTCTACACCATACATCAATTTTTTTATTATGAGAAAACATTTGATAGCTTGGATAAAAGAACCTTTTGGAATCTTGTTCGACAATAAAGAGTACCCGAGAGGATTGTGACCACCGAAGGAAGTTCCTACAAAGCAGTCCGTTGCAACGTTGTGTATGGAGGGCAGCTCAGAGATGTATTCCATGCGAAGACTAGTGTCAGACAAAGCTGTATACTCTCAATTTTTCTCATAATACTAATGGTTGGCAGAATTGTGAGAACCTCAACCCAAGGGAGTTACGGAGTACTATGGGCACATAGAAGGCAGTAGAATGATTTGGATTTTCCAAATGACAGCCGTATTATATCGTAGACAGCAAAAGTTGTGGACGAAGACTGGTGGTATGCCGGTAGCTTTTGCTGAAGTAGACGTTAACGGTGAGAGTCAACCAGACCGTTTTCGACAACGAAGCTCTGGAAGATGTAAATGTTTCTGGAATACTTATTCAACATCACTAACGAGCAATTAGGACTTTCTAGAGTGCAAACGGCTTCACATTTAAAATAGCGTCCAGTGATATCTGTATTAACATTCCAATCCAACTGTCTTAATAAAATCGGCAGTGAAACGATGGTTAAAATACACTAGAAATAAGAATGTGTCTTGTTAAAAGAAAGTAATAGGGTTGGAACCAAAAGATATATTGGGGAGAAGAGGCCTCACCTCCAACAAAACTTGTAAATTTGCGATGTTCATATACCCTGAATGGAGGAGTGATATTAGATGAGTGCCGAAGATCACAAATCCGCCAAATTGTTTAAGGCGGACGAACCAACGACCATTCAAGCTACGCTTGCATCGCACATCTACCTTTCTGTTATGGATTGATCAATCGTTATTCTTGATTTCGAGGAAAATATGGATGCGATATACTACAACTTCTTTTCATAGGGTCAGACATGTGTGTCTGATCAATAAGCCTAAACCGGCGCATTCAGATGACGCTGACAAACTGATTTAAGTTGCATCGAGAGAGTCTGCGTTTTGAGGCCAAAGTAAATTTCTTATTCTCAGAAAACGGGCTCAGTACTTGGATCTCTGCTATTTTTGGTTCATGCAAGTCTTCTTCTGCAAATATCTTCCGAAATATTGCTTTTGGTGGTAGCTCTAGAGAGAAACATGAAGATGGCACAGGTAATAAGTGTTTGACAACGCTTTTACCAGCAACACCTAATATAATTCGTACCCACCAGGAGAAATCAAAAGACAGAGTCGAGGAGATCGGAAGAGTGTATTTGGAGATAGCCGATATATCGGAATTCTCTGATCTAATCTGGATAGCGATTGAGGTAGATGTTGAGCACAGCGTTACCACATGTGATCTGGTGCGGATGCATGACCGAACGCCTTCAGCTAGGTGAGTTCGCTAAAACTAATCTGGTCAGCATCCAATGTCGAAAACTTACAGAGCTATTTATTTTGGGGATTTATTAACCGCTACAGATCACTCCCTCTCTAGTGGGGTAGTGATGACCCTAAGACATAGCCAGCCAGAAGTTTAAACCAACGAGTTTTGTCGTTGGTAAACACTCTTCTAATAGCTTCCTAGGTTTAGCAGCGTCTGGTCATCTTTCCTTAATATATAGGACCGAGGTACAACATAGTAAAAAAAGAAAAAGTACAATGAAAATTTCGGCTCCTCGTAAACTTCATCGTTCTTTTCCAGCCGTCCTGGAAAAGAAAAAAGAAAATGTAAGTGCATGTCGAAATACACTCGTTTGTGCGTAAAAACACAATGTCGGCGAAAAAAATGGACCCACGAATCCTCCTGGAAGTCGAAGTGTCGTTCCATAAACAAGTTCAGCCGCAGTGTATCCAATGTCAGCTTTCACTGCATTGTGATTACTTAGTAAGATGAGTGGAAAGGCATCGGTCCACTGAGAAATGTTTGAAGCTGATAGTGAAGCTTTTAGTTGTCGGTGAAAGCGTTCTGTCAACCCGTTTGCTTGTGGGTGGTAGGCAGTCGTTCGGAAGCGAGTGTTTCCTAAAAGTGTGCTCAGACGACGGAAAAGTTCGGATTCAAACTGACGTCCGCGGTCTGTAGTGATAGTTGAAGGGCAGCTGAAGTTTGCTACCCATCGTTCGACGAAGGTGCGAGCCACTGTTTCAGCAGTGATGCCCTTGATAGGTACTGCTTCTGGCCATCGAGTGAAACGGTGTACGCAGGTTGAGAGATAAGAGTATCCATTTGAGTCTGGTAAAGGTCCTACCAAATCCAAATGAACATGGTCGAAACGAGCATCGGGAGTCTTAAATGAGCCTAAGGGACATTTATTGTGTCTGATAACCTTAGATTTTTGGCAGCTTACACAGGAGCATGCCCACTGCCTCACGTCTTTATTCATGCCAGGCCAGCAAAACCATTCTGCTATAAGCTTGATGATTGCACGAACACCTGGATGAGAAAGTTTGTGCAACGTATTGAAGACGTTGCGTCGATAATGTTTCGGCACGATTGGGAGATCCCTACCTGTAGATGTGTCACATAGTAAGGTTTCCTTACCTGTTCCCATCTGTTTGATTCGTAGCATGAGAGTTGTAGGCGATAACTCGCGCTGAAGATCAGTGTCCTCTTTTTTAAGCTCGGCGAGTTTAAGAAGGTAGATTCTTTGGAAACTGTTCAAGGAAGTTATGCGAGACAAGGCTTATGCAACTACATTGTTTGCTCCAGAAATGTATTGAATACCTGAAGTAAACTGCGAAATGTAATCCAGTTGTCGAGACTCATGGGGAGAGTACTTGTCTGAAAGAGAGCTTAACGAGAAAGTAAGCGGTTTATGGTCGGTGAAAAGAGTGAATTCACGGCCTTCGATATAGTGTTGGAAATGCCGTACAGCACAATACATAGCTAGGAGTTCCCTACCGAATGTGTTGTACCTCGATTCGGTGTCCAGCAACCTTCTAGAGAAAAATGCCGAGGGTTGCCAGGAGTTGTTAACCTTGCTATAACGTGAAAATGATCTGCTGATTAAGGGTAGCGAATTATTAATCGGACCAAAGACGCACAAACACGTAGAACAGCCTAGGGTTCTGATTGGTCTCGCCTCCCTATCTAACCCAGCCAGTTGAGTCCAGAACACAAGTCACAGCCTCTGGGTTATGCATCATTATATTTCAAACATACTTTGTTTATATACCAGTCAAGCAGACCACAACGTCCCATAAAATAGAAAATAACATTGTACAATAATGGCCAGTAGGAAAATGACACGTTAAACAAATATTGACCAATAAGATGATACCATTTCATGTCCAAGGATAGCATTAGCCTTAACAGGATAATTTTTTTTGGGATATTTTCCTGAATATCCCAACACCTCCCTTTTTTGGAGATCCGGAGTTGATGTCCGGATTTTAAATTTCTTCCGCGTCTATCCTCCCCCGCGAAATAATGTTGGGTCTTCATAAACGTGTTTGCGCGAGACCAATCAGAACCCTAGGCTGTTCTACGTGTTTGTGCGTCTTTGGTCCGATTAATAATTCGCTACCCTTAATCAGCAGCATCATTTTCACGTTATAACAATTGGCGACGGGGTGAAGAAAAGATACAATCCGAAGTCATTCTGTAATTGGACGAAATCCAGTCTGATTATTCAACCAATCAGTATCCAGATTGTCATCAGTGTCCTTGAACCACATTGGACATTAGTCATACAGTAATTTTCATCACAGGTGCTGATTCAAAAAAATGACTCTCCCTTCCGATCGATTACAGCTGCTCTTTGAACGACATTTGGACTTATTAGTCAAATTCCGCACGCATCTGCTAAATCACTCATGCTATGAAGACGCGACGGAAGTGGATGGATTGATATCTGAAATACACAGTGAGCTGGAAAATGACAGCAGCCTCCATGAATCCTCGATGAACTGTACTTCAAACGAAACAGTCATCCATGATGCGCCCAGTGGTCCAGTACTTTCTATCCCAGAAACATGCCCGGTAATGGAGTCAAGCTCCATCATCCCCCAAACAGCATGTGCAGACAGTAACATATCCAGCTCACGAGAAGATCTCATTGTTTTGCCAGAAAATGTGTTCCACGCATCAAATAATAACCAAGAACCTGGTACAGTTTTGTTGGACGCCGATTATCATAATGATCCACTACTTACTAAAGATTTAAACCCTGATGACTTCAAATTGGATGGCGTTTATCCTCAATATCTGATCGATTTTACTGGATTCCCTGTGCAATATGTTTTAAATACAATCAAATTAATTGTAATTTGGGTTTATGAAGACCCAACATTATTTCGCGGGGGTGGATAGACGCGGAAGAAATTTAAAATCCGGACATCAACTCCGGATCTCCAAAAAAGGGAGGTGTTGGGATATTCAGGAAAATATCCCAAAAATTATCCTGTTAAGGCTAATGCTATCCTTGGACATGAAATGGTATCATCTTATTGGTCAATATTTGTTTAACGTGTCATTTTCCTACTGGCCATTATTGTACAATGTTATTTTCTATTTTATGGGACGTTGTGGTCTGCTTGACTGGTATATAAACAAAGTATGTTTGAAATATAATGATGCATAACCCAGAGGCTGTGACTTGTGTTCTGGACTCAACTGGCTGGGTTAGATAGGGAGGCGAGACCAATCAGAACCCTAGGCTGTTCTACGTGTTTGTGCGTCTTTGGTCCGATTAATAATTCGCTACCCTTAATCAGCAGCATCATTTTCACGTTATAACAAACCCATTGTTGTAAGACTCCTCCGATTGCCGAGTCGGATGCGTCTACTGCGATACTTATGGGTGCTTCGGTGTCCTGATGTGCGAGCATTGTTGCTTTAGCGATCAGTTCCTTAACTGTGGAGAATGCTTTTCGTGCGGTGTCGTCCAAATTAATGGATTTCGCATTTCCACGAAGTTGGTCGGTAAGAGGTTTCATGAGTAAAGCGCATTTCGGTATGAAT